ACTAAGACCGAGTGAGAAGAAAAAACACCATTGGAGGTTAGGCATGAGGGCACAGAAATCTCAGCATCAGCAGAGGCACGTGAAGATTATGCGTTTAAGGTCAGCTAGGGCTGCATAGTGAGACATAAATGTGGCAAGACAAAACTTCACTTGGCCATAGTGACCATGTTCAGGGAACTTGTAAGGCTTAATGACAGAGCCCTCACTCCAGAGGGATCATCTCTTTACTTAAAAAAAAAAAATCCAATATGCAAAAGTATAAAAAACACTATCAGACCCTTCTCCATACCCCACAGTCCAGTTTAACCACAGTCTACCTGGTCCTATCTGGACACTGACCCGCCTACCTGCCTCTCTATCTCAGATCACCCTGAAGCATCTTTGAATGACAAAAATTCTTATTTCAAAAGAGCAGCATAGTTTTATCTCACTTTAAAATTAGTCATGTGGGGCTGGGAAAGATGCCTACTGCCAATTCTGCCAACCTGAGTTGAAGGAGAGAACCAACTCTTGAAAGCTGACCTCTGGCCTCCACACACACACATTCCATGGCACATGCTTGCACATAGGTATACACCCACACAAAATAAGTAAATAAACATGTAATTTTAAAAGTTAATCATGTGCACTACCAACTAGCCAGTCACATTTGATTTCCCCATCAATCTCAAATATTTATTTACAATGTGTTTGTTTGACTCAGCCTTCGATTAGAGTCTCATACTGGTGAATATCTCTCTCAAGCTTCTTTTCATTTCGTTTCTTTCTAGTCTTTTCTTTTTCCTCACAATGTGTTTGATGGAGAAACTGCAACATCTTCCAATTGGGCTTTGGCTGATGGCATTCCTGTGGTGAGGCTTAACATTTTGCTATAACTTGATATTCCTCACTCATTCTTCCTCACTTCGCTCTCCTGGCCCTCTCTCTCCTCAACCAAAAAAAAAAAAAAAATTGTGACTGTCAAACCCAACACTGCAAACGGAGCAGGAAGTAGAGATTGTTGTCAAACAGGACATTGCTGCGCCAGTCACAGAAGTCAGAGGAACAGCAGATGGAGTGTGGAGACCACCAGGAGCAGTAGCTGCCTCTGTCTGAAGGAAGCGAAGTCCCACGGGGTTGGGACGTGTCCTCACTGGAGAGGGCCCTCGGAAAAGAAAAGAGGGTGGGGGAAGGGCGTTCCCCAGTTGACCTGGCATGTTAATCAGTTTAAAGCTGCCACCAGTAAGAACTAACATTTCGCAGTCCCGTGGGGGAGGGTGCAGGCAGGCCTGTTGTTTGGCTGAAGGACCCAGGTTGGACTCCAAGGACAAAAGGCACAGGCCCACAGAGCATCAACCGTGGGAGGGCTCACCAGCAGAGCCCCGCAAGTCACAGCCCTATGGCAGGCAGCCCCGCCCCGCCCCCGTGGGGAGCAGCAGCGCGTGCTCCGCTGGTTTTCTAATAATGGGACACAGTTGGCTACAGGCTTCAGAGTAAAAAAAGACTTGACCTTAAATCCCAGCTCCTTCACTGAAAGCAGCATGGCCTTAGGCAACCTGCTTAACCTGCCTATACCTCAGTTTCCTTCTGTGTTCACTGGCATTTCCTTGTCTGTCCACCTGCCACAGTGGCTGGGGACAGCGATAAGTGAAATTTGACATGGAGGTCTATAGGACAGTCTCCGAAACAAGCTCATTCCAGAGGAGCCCTGCCCCAACCCCCAAAATCTGCTGTCATTCTGTTCCAACTCAGATACTCGAAAGGAGCCAGGAGAGCACCTGCTAGATGTCTGGCTGGGTTACCGACATGGTCTGTAGCCATGCATGAAGCAAAGCCAGCTGACCCATAAAGGGTTCAATCCCATGATCCCGATCTCAATAGCAAGGTTCCAACCAAGTGAGCTAATTACAGTGGGGTTAGATTCAACCCCGCTTAGACTCGTAGCCATTCACAGAACGTTCTTAAACTGTGTTGTCCTAAGATGCTGAGGCATAACCCACTTGCCAAGTTTACTAATGATCTCATCTTTGAAAAATCTCAATGTAATGTAGCAAACAGATGTGTCCCTTAAGAGGATTAAGGTGGAAATTCATTAGGGCAATAATACGGGTGGATTTGTGTTCTAAAACTAACACCTGTCAATCAACGTGGTGCACGCCCCATCTTAGCACTACTTAGCTTCTAGGTGCAACATAGAGAAAGGGGCCACCAGGGCGTCACCTTCAGGAAGTTATCGAGAGAAAGAAGATCCTAGGAACCGCACGTACTAACTGCCTGATGTGCTTTACCCGTAACCTATGCACTCAGGCGGTAATTGGTACTGGAATTACCCAAGCACCATGGTAAGATACATGTTCTGAATCAGTCGATCAGGGGAGGCCAGGGTGTTCAGTTCACACAGAAGCCCAGATAGTGTCCACCTTGTGCCCACAATTGTAATTTTTAGTTACTTAGTAGACTAAGAATTCTACCAGGCCAGGAATCCCACACGCACTTGTAACATACATCACCTGCTGTCAGGCCAAAAGGTGCCTGGCACACAGTGATGGTTGTGTTAGGTGAACTTCCCAAGGTAACGGATGAGAAGGTCGAGGAAGTGTATAGCTCTGTCCTCACCCACACAGCTGCTCAGAGGGGCAGAGCAGCACTGAGGTGTCCAGTCACACAGGCTTAGTGAGGCTCTCAGCTCCCTACTCCGGGCAGAGAAATCAGGTACTTCATTGCTCTCTACCTCTGTTTCATGTGCCTCTAAACCAGGGATAATAAAAGCCCCGTTCCATGGAGCTGTGTGGTGTTGAGAACAGGCACTAGGGCTCCAGTGGAGCACCGACCACAGGCTGAGTACTCCAGGCTGAGTACTCCAAGCTGACTCGCTTTCTGTCAGAGGTGGGTCATCCAACTTTAAGATTACCTGCTGGAGGGGCTGGAGATCACAGGTCAGGTGTCAGAGTGCCCACCTGGCACATAGGAAGCCCAGCACCGCATGATGTGGTTGTGGTGGTGCACAGCTGTAACCCCAGCACTCGTGAGGCACAGACAGAACCAAAACTTCAAGGGTACCCTCAGGTACAGAGCAAGTTCAAGGCTAGCTTGGGATAGGGAAGACTATCCCCTCCCCAGTTTTCTTTTAATTGCTGGAAACTAGCATCTTAAAGATATGCATGTGTACTTAAACACAGATGCCCTGAATTCTGCTTGAAGGAACTATGGGTAACAGTCAGCTGCCTGTGATGTTCCTAAGTGCAAACACTTAGAGTGTGTAAAAGCAGGTGAAAAGACTGATGTTGGGTAGCTGAAGTTTTCTCTAAAACCTCTTCTTAGGTTTGTTTCACAAAGGGCACCTGAGAAAGTTCAGGGAGACAGTGAGACTGCTGGACTGTGGCTTCTGGTGGGGGCCCAGGAGGGGCAAGAGGGGGAGCATCAGGATTTCCTGCCCCACCAGGAATACTGGATTGAGACTATGGAAACATAAAAACATACTTGAGTTGGGAGCCTGAAAGGTCAACCCATGTATATAGGGTTTGAGATCCAAGGAAACCACTTCAAGGTCACAAGGCCACAATTATGAGGCTTCTGTGGCTTCAACAAAAGATCACTGTAATCTGAGACCATGATGAATGGAATAACCATGAAGTGGGAGACACTGTGAACACTTCTCACAGAATCCGCTGATGGAGAAGGGGCAAGGACTTACTGAAGTGACTCTGAGAAGCCTCGTGTCCCCCACCCCCAGGTATGGCGCTCTGTGGTCTGAAAGAATCCAAGGACTGTGACTACAGGCACCCGGCACCAGTACAGACGGAATGAGAGAGAGCTGCCCCACTCCTCATTCAAAAAAGGAGGGGGAGGGGGCGGTTATTAGTTAGGTGGAATGGAGGGAGCACTGACCAATCCGGAGCAGGAGGATATCACTCCCAAACCCCTCAGGTTTCCATATAGCCTCCTCCTTCACTTTCAAAACAAGTGGACATCTAACAGAAAGCTAAAAGATTTTCCAAAATCACTTTTGCTCTTGGAACGAAGGGTTCTCTCTCCCAAATGTTTGTCCATGTTGATCTTCGCAGAATTAATTATCTCTAAATTTTGATGTGGACCTAAGCAGAAAATACAGCAAGGAAGTAAACCCTCCAAGGTGCAGTCCATCTGTGTAAGTGGGAAGAAGGGCTTTCCCGGAGAGCTAAATGATTAGCTTTCAATGCCTGGCTCTTTACAATCACTTTGCAAGTCGCCTGGCCTCCTTCAAAGGGTTAAAAAAGAAAGAAAAGACATGAAAAGAAAAGAAAACTCTAACGGGTGGACTGAGACGCCATTCTTCCCAGGGGACACTCATTTGGGGCTCCTGGGCCGAGGCATTGTGAGCCTCTTGCCCGCGCCCCCGCCCTTCCTCCCACAGGGGCTGCTGCTCCAAGGTTCCTGAGGCCACCTGCTCCTCGGAAGAAAAACGGGATAGCGTGAACACTATCGCAGTGCGCGCCCCTTCCCAGAGGGAGGAGGGGGAGGTGTTCCCGGAAAGCGTGCTTTGTCGCGAGGGTCGCCCAGCCGCCCGCAGTGCCAGGGAGGCCCAACAGAGCTTCTGTCCCCGACATCACTCGGGGCTCTCTTCCAGGAAACCGAGTCCCGCGGCTCCAGGAGCTCTTTCCATGCCCGGCTCGGGGCCAGGCAGGGTACGGGGGCCGATCGCCCCGGCGTCCGAGCTGCACCCCGCCCACCAGGCCGAGCTAACGGAGAGGCCACGGAGATCCCAATGCATCCCGCCTCCGGCCCGTATGGCACCTGCTGGGCCCCGCTCGTCCCAAGATCTGGGCTAGGACATGGAGCTGTCCTTCCCGCCAGCCAGAGAGAGTCATGCGCCAGCCTCTGGGTGCCCCCGGCCCCTCTGCCTAACCCTCAATAGTATCTGCCCTTGGGCGCGTGTCCCCGGGGCCTCTGCCAGTCCAGCCCGTCTGCAGCGCCCCCACCCTGACAGGCACGGCTGCAGGGGTTGCGTCCCCAGCTCCCCCACTCACCCCGCCGGATCTTACCTTGTGCGGTGCCCGCAGCAGCCGATGGACCCCGGCCAGCTGGGTGCCCAGAGCCAGGTCCTCGCGGAATGTGAACAGCGGTGGCCGGCTGGGCTCTGGGAAGTTGGTACTGTTGAAAGGATCGGTGTCGTCCAAGAACTGCACGCGACAAGCCAGCGTGGCCATGATGCATCCCTGCCCCGTGGGGCGCGGGCCCCAGGGTCAGCGGGCCGCGCGGGCCGGGACGCCTGGTCTGTGCAAAGGGAAAGCCGCCGCCGCCGCCTCCACCGCCGCTGCAGCTAGCAGCCTCGCGGGCTCGCAGGCTCCGGCGCGCCGGGCTGAAGCCCGGACTCCGGCCACTGGGGGCGGGGCGGGGGCGGGGCTGCGCCCCCTCCCACCCCTCCCTCTCGGGCTCCTCCCCTGCTCGGTTTCCCCAGCACCGGGTCAGTCGGGCTTCCCCGACCTACGCGACCGCTGCAGGGACAGGGAATGCGAGAGCCACTAGCGCAGCGTCCGCAGCCCTGCGCCTAGCAGGGATCAACGCGCAGGAACGCCCCTGCGCAGAACCCGCTGCACGTGTGCCGGCCGCCCAGGTTCCAGCTGCACCAGCCTTGTTGCGCGGGCACTGGACTGGGGACAAGGCGGTCCTCTGACTACGTTTCCCTTGGGACAGGACACAGGACAACCCTTTCCAGATGGGGCCAGCCTCCGTGCTGGGCACCCAGAGGTAGAGGGTACCAGCTCTCTGCAACCCCGTGACTAGGAGGCAGCTATCCTGAGCCCAGGCGAGGGAATGAAAGGGAGATAAGGGGAAGAAGGAGCCCCGGCATCCCAGCAGCTTTTCTTGAGCCCAAGGGTGCCCCGAGTGAGGGCTGATAGGCTGTAAGGCGAAGCTCCAAGACCCCAAAGCCGGGCCCCGAGAGCACCCTAAGAGTTATGGTTGAATCTGTCCATCATCACCACCCCTCTCCTCAGTTAGGTCTCCGGAAGCTCTGACGGGACTGTCTGCGACAGAGGAAGAGGGGTGCTTCTGGACAGATCTCGGAACGATGAAAGTGCGGGGAAGAATCGGGGAGTACCCCCTCGAAACCCCAGGACTTTGAGTGAATCTTGACAGTCAGCCTGCTTCTTCCAAGCTGGAGCCGCAATTCTCCACGCAGCACGCACTGGCTCTCTTTGCTGTTCACAGGCGACCCCTAACGTTTCCAAAGAGAACTCACCGCTTTTTCCATTCCCAGGCTACACTGTTGATTCCTAATCCCTCTCCATTGCCCTAATAGCAATATCCAGTCGTTCATCACACCCGAGGCGGCTCCCTAATTCGTCCCCCTCCCTTCTCTCTAGTTTCAAGAGAATCGAAACCCTTGTCTTTTACTTAGCAACCTCACTCGCATCTTTTCGTGATGCCTTTTCTGTGGACTCTTCCCCACAAGTGTGTGCGGCCTCCTGGAGATTTCCTTGGCCTCCCTTTTACACAGCCTCTGATTCCTTCATCACTTGTCCTGGTCTGTTTGGATTGGCGGGGAGACTAGTTTTTGAGACAAAATTTGAGCCGGGCGTGGTGGCGCACGCCTTTTAATCCCAGCACTCGGGAAGCAGAGGCAGGCAGATCTCTGAGTTCGAGGCCAGCCTGGTCTACAGAGATAGTTCCAGAACAGCCAAGACTACGTAATTGGGAGACCCAGTCTCAAAAAACAAGGGGAGGGGCGTTGATGAAGCCCACACTGGCCTCAAATTCACCATCCTCCTGCCTCAGCCTCTCCAATGACGTGATGCACCATATTTGACTCATTTATACTTGCTCAGATTTTTGATGCTTAATATTTATTGTCAACTTGACTGCATTTAGACTCACCGTGGAAACGTGCCTCTTGAGGGTGTCTATAATGGTGTTTCCAGAAAAGTTTGAATAAGGAAAAGAAGACTCACCCTGTCTCGTGGATAGAACCATCCCATGGGCTAGCACCAAATAAGGAGAACTCGGAGCAGTACGTCTATCTCTCTGTTTCCTGATGTGAACACAGTGTAGACACCTCACACTCCAGCTCCACGCCTTCTCAGCCATGATGGACTAGATCCTTTCTTTAACCTTTTCCTCCGTAAATCACTTTGTCCAGTGTTTTACCAAAGCAACAAGGAAAGAGACTAACACAGTTTCCTTCCCTCAGTTTTTTTTTCTTTTTTGTGGGTGGTATAAATATGTACCTTCCCTAGAAAGGGTAAGTTTTGGAGAAAGTTTACAACTCCAAGTGTCTTTTTTCAATGTCTTGTGCTTACTGTGGTGTGGAAGTTTTACAAAGATGGCAGTGGTAGGTTTCCTCATGCCTCTCATGTTCCTCATTTCCTCCACACTCCTCATATGCCCCCTTTCCCCCACACCCTCATACCCCCATTTCCTCCACACTCCTCATATGCCCCCCTTTCCCCCACACCCTCATACCCCCATTTCCTCCACACTCCTCATATGCCCCCCTTTCCCCCACACCCTCATACCCCCATTTCCTCCACACTCCTCATATGCCCCCCTTTCCCCCATACCCTCACACCCCCATTTCCTCCACACTCCTCATATGCCCCCCTTTCCCCCACACCCTCATACCCCCATTTCCTCCACACTCCTCATATGCCCCCTTTCCCCCACACCCTCACACCCCCATTTCCTCCACACTCCTCATATGCCCCCCTTTCCCCCACACCCTCATACCCCCATTTCCTCAACACTCCTCATATGCCCCCTTTCCCCCACACCCTCATACCCCCATTTCCTCCACACTCCTCACATGCCCCCCTTTCCCCCACACCCTCATAGCTCCCATTTCCTTCACACCACTCACATCCCCCTTCACTTCCACCAAACCCCTAATATTCCTCTCATTTGCTCCACAATGCTCATATTCCCCCCATTTCCCTCATACCTCTCACGTTCCTCCATTTCCCCACACCACTCATATTCCCCCATTTCTTCCACACTCCTCATATCCCCCAAATTTCACCACACCCCTCATATTTCCATTTGTCTAGAACCCCTTATGTCCCCGTATTTTCCTCATACCCATCATACCTCCCATTCCCCAACACTTACCATATCTCCGCATTTCTCCCAGAGCACTTATTCCCCCATTTCCCTAACACCCCTCATAGTCACCTGATTTCCCTCACATGCTTCATATCCCCCCAATTTCACTCATATGCCTCACATTTCCTAGTTCTCTCATACTCATCAAATTCCCTCATTTCCCCTACAGCCCTCTATTTCCCCCATTTCCCTCAGCCCCTTCATATTTTCATAACTCGGCCACTTCTCCCATTAACAGGTGAACCCTATTTCTCCATTCCTTGATTTTTTGTTTGTTTTTGAGACAGAGTCTTACTATGCAGTCCTGGAACTCATAGCAATGCACCTGCCTCTGCCTACTGAGTGCTGGAATCAAGGGTGTGCACCACCACACCAGGTCTCATCTAGGGAAAATGCTTCTGGGGACTTCTGAAGATTAGAGAAGTGGTTTCTATGCTATAGAACAATGAAACATTTGATAAGATGATTGGGAACAGTTGTCTGGAATTAATAAAGCATATAGCTAAGGCTAAGGAGTCATCTAAGGAGATCTCTAAAATATTCAAAGTACCTGTTGGGTGCTTCCAGCTGCACATAATAATGAATTTTATTTGCAAGAAGGAAGAAATAGAGAATCCCTAAACTTAGAGTTGTGAAATAAAGCTATTTCTCATCCCCAGTCCTTCCAAACAGCAGAAGATTTTTTTAATGTATATTTTTTAATTTTATGTGTGCAGGTATTTTGCCTGCCTATTATATGTGTGTGCAATGCCTATGAGGGCCAGAAGAGGGTGTCCAATCCCCTAAGTCTAAGAAATGAGCTTAGTAAAATAAATTTTAAAACGTGATTATTGGAGGCTGGAGAGATGACTCAGCAGTTTAGAGCATCTGCTTTTACAGAGGACCAGAGTTTGGTACAGAAAATACATCTTAATAAAATTCACAGAAAATCCACAGAGATTTTAAGAATCAAAGGCACCTCCAGCTTACACTAAAGGACTAGACAGTGTTCCAAAGTCGGAGACCTCTGACCTCCAGCTTGAACGGGGAAGGACCAGCCACGGAAAGTATTTACCTGAAAGTAGTTTGGAAAAAATGAAGGTTGCACCAGAGCTTGGAGCTAAGAGCCATAGAGAAGGGTGAATGTAACCGTCCCCAAGGGCAAACCTGGGTGTGGAGAAAGCAGCCACACATGCAGGGCTGGCATCCAGACAGCCACATGTGTCTCCAGCTCATTCCCTAAGTGGAAGTGTGTGCTGATGGGATTCTGCCCCAGGCTCAGCACTGACTACTGGGTATGTAGTGGGCATGTAACCTGCCTTTTAAGTCAAGGTTCTGGTTGTGTTTCATCTGGAAGCTCTCCTCACCTGCCTGCACCCTCAGTTAGTGGTTTCTTGGCCACTTTCCCAGCCTCAGGGTGCTGCCTGCTTCTCAAATCTGTGTCCCTCAGTGGATAGTTACTTTTTGTTTCTGCGATGAAACACCAAATGTGACTTAAAGAAAGATGTGTTTATTTTGGCACATGGTTCCAGAAGGAGGGTTTAAGATGGCGAGAGAGAGTCATGGCAACAGGCAGCAGGAGCAGGGAAGGTAGCAGATCACCTTTAATTTTATAAGAACTGTGGTTTTCCTCACTGTGGAAAATTCCATCAATTTCCATGCACAGGAAAAATGAGAGTGAAATGGAGTGCAGTGGGGCTGTAAACTCTCAAAGCCCACTCTCTGTTCCGCACTTCCTCCAGCAAGGTGCCACCTGCTAAGGGTGGCGTAACTCCTTCAAACAGCACCGCCAACTGTGGCCAAGCATTCAAATACATGAACCTTGGGGAAGCAGTTCTCGTTCAACCGCCATGCTTGGCTTAGGTTTTGATTGAGGCAGCTCTGTACTTCCAAGATACAAATGCCACACAATAAACCATTCCTTTTGCCCTTTTTCTATAGGGCATCATTTCAGCTGGGCTCAGAAGTGTCACTCCTGCTGCGGCTGTCATCTGAGAGCGTCACTGGAGCCAGGCAATTAAAATCATCTCCCGCCATGTCTAGGAGTGTCTGCTGGCTGCCAGCTGGTTGTTGTGGAGGACTTCTGGGAGATAGCTCATCTCTATTTCATATGGTTTCTCATGGAAGGCCAGATCAGTATTCCTCACACGAACTCTGCAGACTGAGGCAGATTCTAAGAATCAAGAGCAGGTGCTGTACAGTCTCTTGATCCCTGGACTCAAAATTTGTGCTGCAGCTAGTGATATAGCTCAGCAGGTAAAGTTGCTGGTCAAGCTCTATCACCTGTCTTGTCTCCCTATAACCCACACGGTGGAAGAAGAGAATCAGCTCCCACATGTTGTACTCTGACTTCCACATACTCAGGCACACACAAAAAATAAATAAATAAAATAACAACAACAACAACAACAAATCAGCATCCATTTGACTTTTGACGGGGTTAGACACAAAGTCAGTCAGGACCACCCGTGACTCGGAAACTGGGTAGTAGATTCTGCTCCTGCAGAGATAAAAGCAAAGCCACAAATTTGCAAATAGACCTGAGGACCCCAAGATGCAGCTGCAGTCATCATTTTACCAGTGAAATACATGCTCCACCACCTAGATGCATGCACCTCTATATAGACACACATTTGAGCACATGTACGGAGTCACACATCTATACACAGAAAGGGAGGCGGCAGATAGGAACAGGCTAGACACAGCAGTCAGTTCAAAGCCATATCCTTGAAGAAAAAAAACAAAACAAAAAAGCAGAGACCTAAGAAAAACAGACCCCAAAAGACTGGTTCCTGCTAAGTAGATTGAAAAGTAAGGTGCTGAAGCAATAATTCAGGACTCTACCACCAGTAATGCAGTTTTTTCTCCGAGTCCAAAAACCCTCGCTGTCACTGGCTGTTGAGATTTGCTGACCCAGTTTGAACTAGTGCCTGGAAGGAAAAAACCTGGACTGACCTAATGCTGCCCCCGGGTGGCAGACATGGCTTGACTTAGGCATTTTAAGATCCTGTACTACACACAGTGCAGTTACCTTTGATTTTGTAAGAGCTGTGGTTTCCTGATGAGATTTAGAGATGTTCTGTCACTTATTCGGAGACAGAATGACGTGCCACGATTTTAATTTGGGGATTTGTAAAGTGAAATATGTAGACATTAATTCTGCTAGCACAGAAGAGAGGATTAAAAAGAGACTGCCCGGTGGAGCCTACCTTCCCTTCTGTTTCCACGTGCTCTCTGAACTGGCCCTGTGACAGAAGAGGCCCAGCCTTTCTCAGAAATCCCAGGTACTTGAAACAATACTTACCAAAGAAGGTTTGGGCTTCTGCCAGGTCCCTAAGGATCCGCAAGTCCCAACCAAGATTTCAATCCCCACAATGGGTCACTGGGTCCTCTAGACCCCTGAAGCCTATGTTTTCTCTCCTTGGTGACCCACCACCTCTGCCTCTGCATTAGCTACTTGTAGTTTTTCCATCGGGGACCACTGGCTCCCAAATAACCACACAGAGACTCCTTATTAATTATGAAAGCTTGGCCGATAGCTTAGGCTTGTTTTTAGCTGTCTCTTATGACTTAAATTAACCCATTTCTATTCATCTATGTGCTGTCCTGAGGCTCATCTATATACTTTCCATACTGCTTCTTCTGAGTCTGGCTGGCGACCCTCGGACTCCACCCTTCTTTTTTCCAGCATTCTCTCTGCCCTCCAAAAATCCTGCCTAGCTACTGGCTGTTTAGCCTTTTTATTAAATCAATCGCAGTGACATATATTCACACAGAATAAAGGAATATCCCACAGCTACTTGTCTTGTTACTGTGACAAAATACACAACAAAAGCAATTTAAGAAAAAAGAGCATTTATTTGGGATTATAGTTGCAGGGTATAAAATCCACACAGCACAGGAAAAAATGGTGGTGGGAGTGTGAGGCAGCTGGTCACGATGCATCCAGTCAGGAAGCAGAGAGACAAATATTGGTACTCAGCTCACTTTCTCCATTTTGTTTAGTTCAGGACCCCAGGCTATTATGGGATGGGGCCTCCCACATTTGGGGTAGGCACACACCCATTAACCTAGACAATCCCTCACAGGTGTGTCCAGAGGTTGTCTCCAAGGTGATCCTAGGTCCTGTCAAGTCGACAACTTAAACCATCACAACTTCAGTACGGTAGGGAAAATAGCACACAGTTGGTCCTGATGGCATCCTCTAACGAAGGCATTGTCACTCCAGACAGCAAATGCCACTTTTGGACGTGACTGAAGGTCCCTGAGACCAGAGACAGTTGCAGGTAGAAGAGGACCAGGAAACTGAAGCTTGGACAGGTGATGGCATTGTCCTGTCCATCTCCATGGGACTTCTCCTCCCCCAGGCCAATCTCACCTCTCCTAGATGTACCCCTGTCCCTGGACAGCTAGTCAAAGCACCATCATGTTGTGATTGGTTGACAGGAACTACCAGGCCCACAGGGCTTGTCCTGCTAACACAGTGGGAGGTGCCCCAGGGGATAAAATCGCTCACGGGGGCTTATTCTTACCATGCTCCACATGCATCTGAAGCAAATCCACTTGCTTTTAAGCAACAGTGATCAGAGGGAAGTGATTCAAGCACAAACTATAGACCTCAGCCCTCAGATCTCACCCCCTCAGACCTCAGCCCCTCAGGCCTCAGGCCCTCAGACCTCAGCCCCTCAGCCCTCAGCCCTCAGATCTCACCCCCTCAGACCTCAGCCCCTCAGGCCTCAGGCCCTCAGACCTCAGCCCTCAGATCTCAGCCCCTCAGACCTCAGATCTCAGCCCCTCAGATCTCACCCCCTCAGATCTCACCCCCTCAGACCTCAACCCCTCAGACCTCAGACCTCAGATCTCACCCCCTCAGACCTCACCCCCTCAGACCTCAGCCCCTCAGACCTCATTCAATCCCTCAGATCTCAGCCCCTCAGACCTCATTCAGTCCCTCAGATCCCAGGCCTATCACTCACCACCAGTTCAAGAACCTAGGTAAGCAACTAATCTTGGTCTCAGTTTTCTCATCTACAAACAGAGATGAGGCTAGTAAGTTCCTCATAATCATCTCCAAGAGGATCACATTATCTAATCCACCTGAAGTGCTTAGAATGTTGCCCACAATCATGAGGCGGCAGTTTACCCCAGCAGTGGAGAGTGAGGACCCGGCTCACTCCGGTCTCTGCTGGGTGTTGCACTCCCACCTTCCCTGGGTCATTTCACCTCTCTGACTGTCTCCGTGGGGTGTTTGGGAGAATTAAAGGTAGCTCTGTGAAGCGTGTAGCACAGTGCCTGCTGATGTCACCCATTCACGAACGTTAGCAAGTGTGACAAGGGGGAGAATTAAGCACACACTTGGGATGTGCAAAGTCACACTTGCTACACTAAGTCTGATACTTTTTCGAGAATTTCAGGATTTATATCTATTCATGAGAGGTTTCTCAGAATAATTCTCAGAAATAAACTACATCAACATGACATATTAGAGAGCTGAAAAAAATACTAGGGACAAAAAAATATTATATATAAAAGAAAAAACCCAGTCCATCAAAAAGATGTAGAAGCCAGGTGTGGTGGCATAATCCTAGCACTTGGGAAGCAGAGGCTGGCAGATCTCCATGAGTTCAAGACCAGCCTGCTCTACAGAGTAAGTTCTAGACCAGACAGTGATATACATTGAAACCCTGTCTAAAAATAAAAATTTAAAAACACAAAAGAAAAACAGAAATCTTAAGTGTGAACACACTAAAATAAATACACCACACCTTCAAAATACATAAATCAAGCTGGATCTGATATGGTAGCACATTCCAGAACATGGGAGGTGAAGGCAGAAAAATCAACCAGCCTGAGAGAAGGAAAACCTGTCTCAATCCCTGCCATCAAAAATATATAGATTGAAATCTAGGCAGTGTATTCTAGTTTCTGCCAGCCTTTTGCAATATTGCAATGTACTCAATAAACTTTTTTTTTTTTGAGACAGGATTCTTCCATATAGCTTTGACTGTCCTGGAACTCGCTCTGTCATCCAGACTGGCCTCAAACTCACAAAGCTCTGCCTGCCTCTGCCTCTCAAGTGCTGGGATTAAAGGTGTATGCCACCACCACTCAGCCCAATAAACTATTAGAAAAATTAATCTCCTGAGTCTCATGAAAAATTTCATTGACTACGACTGCTCATTCTTTGGATATGTAGACATGAGGGAGCCTTTTTAGGTGTGGGCACAGCAGACCTCTGCTGAGCCTGGTCAGTGCGGGTGAGCAGAGACATCAGGTTAAGAGTGGGTTCAACCTCCAAAGGCAAAGAGTGTTCACTCTAAGATTAAGTTCTATTGAATCAAGTTTGTGGGTCTCAATAATGGTAGACAGTGTTGTAAAGAGAAACTTTAATGCTCTCTGGGGAAGAAGGAGATAACACTCAGGTGTTCCTGGGAAGCAGGTGAATCAGGACACTCCATACTCTTTCAACACAGGGAGCACCTCAGATCCCACGGACAGGAAACGTGGAGAGGATAAATCCAAGGACTCGTGCATCAGGTACACACCAAAGTTCACCTGCAATTGAGGCAAGTCACAAGCCACATTATTTTAAAAGTTAAAATCATCTGTCGCATGCCTTTAATCCCAGCATTCCAGCATGCAGAGCCTGTGCTCATGTGTGTACAGGTGCACATGTGTGCATATGTTGGCCAGAGGACAAGCCTGGCTGCTGTTTCTCAGATGCCGTCCATCCACCTTGTTTATTGAGACAGGGTCCCTCATAGGTCTGTGGCTCACCAGGTAGGGCAGGCTGGCTGGTGAGCCCCAGGAGTCTGCCTGCTCTACCTTCCCAGATCTGGGATTACAAGCATGTGTCAAAGTGTCCAGTCCAGCTCTATTTTTTTCAGCGTGTGTGTATGTGTGTGTGTGTGTGTGTGTGTGTGTGTGTGTGTGTGTGTGTGAGTGTGTGTGTGTGTGTCTGTTGTGTGAGCTCTTGAGCTTGCAAGGCATGCACTTTACAGGCTAAACTATCTCCCCAGCCTATTTATTTATTATTTATTTGAGACAGGACTTCATTGTAATACAGGGCAACCTCAAACTCTTTGTGACCATGGATGTCCTTGAGCCCCCTTGGGGATCTAGGAGTTATCACCACACCCGGCTTCAAGAATGCTTTACGAGTCTCACTGGAATTCTTCACAAAGCCTAACAGAAAATGTAAAGCTAAAAATAAATGCTTCTAGAGTGAATCAATATATTAAACACTCAGCATTTATAATCAAGAGGCTACAACATCAACACTGAGTCATTTTAACCCCAAGAAGATGAGCTGCCGGGCTTGGTATCATGAACTTTACTGAGCCCTCTCAACAGATCCTCTACCCACGGAGCTATCTGACCTTTTTATGAGATCTCTGTGGTGAAGAAAATAGTGATCAGGATAGAAGAATTATTTTTTTTTCTTGATGTGGTAGAGATGGAAACCAGACCCTGGTACATGCAGGTGAGTGAGCACTCTGCCACTAAGCCTCATCCCCAGCCCTGTTATTTTTATAGTCCTTCTGTTTACAATAAGATCTGAGAGCATGGGGGGCTGTAGAGATGGCTCAGAGGTTAACAGCACTGGCTGCTCTTCCAGAGGTCATGAGTTCAATTCCCAGCCACCACACGGTGGCTCACAACCATCTACAATTAGATCTGGTGTGTAGGCAGAACACTGTATACATAATAAATAAATCTTTTTTAAAAAAAGAGCTCTGAGAACATTAAAATGCTTATAATAAAACAATAACCAACTGGATGAGACGTTGGATGGCAAGGAAAATAACAGGGAACCGCAGGCGAGCTCGGGACCTTGATTAGAGCATTGGCTTTGAGAAGTATAACAAACCCCCACTGCTGAAAACTACTCAGCACTTCTATCAGTATAGTTGCATGCCAAGATCTTACAATGGGGTGCCATGTTGGGCACACATACCTACCTTTCTTCCCCGGCTCTCAGAAAGCTTCTGGAAAACATCTTGGTTCCGCTGCCCGGTTTGCTGGTCGATACAGATCATCTGACACCTGTGGCAAGGCCCCAGGACCTGGCAGAGGAGAAGGGAACCGTGATGAGGCCTTCACGCTTTGCAGGGTGGAATCACATACATACGGCCAAACTCTGAACACAGAAGCGGCCCCTCATTGCAGCGCTTTCTGGGAATGTCCCATGTGGAGTTGAGGGCTGAAAGGCTACTGCATAAGAGCAGTGGAGAGAAGAGAAGGAATGGAAGACAATCTCGATGGTTCCTAGAGGTGGGAGGAATCTGAGGAAGGAAAACGTTCGGAACTGCAAAGACAAACAGAAGCCAGCACCGAGCCAGGCCCAGGGCACCGCAAGCTTTGAGCACCAACCATCCACATAAAGATTTAACCTACAGAGGAAGTAGACATACAGACACAGAATCACAAGCAGGGATTTGTCCTCATATTGCTGACCGTATGGAAAAACTTGTATCTTAGACATCACACAGTATTGAAGATAACACATCTATGTGATGCTTGCCACAAGAATTAACATTCATTTACAAGGAGCTGGGGGTGTGGCTCAGTGAGCTAGGTGCTTGTCCGCATGCATGAAGCCATGAGTTCCACCCCCAACCCTGCACAAAACAGGTGTGGTGAGGCACATCTGTAATCCCAGCACTCGGAAGGTGGAGGCAGAAGGATCAGAAATGCAAGTTCATCCTCAGCTACACAGGAAGTCTGACACTTGCCTGAGCTACATAAGACTCTTAAAAAAAAAAAATCACAAATACCTTTAAATAAAATGGGGAAATACTCATATTTTGTAGCTGAAGCAGAAAGCAAGGTATATGTATATTTTATGTGTATCTACAAATAAACATACCTAATACTCCATACAACAATACATAAAAGAACATCCAAATGCTTGGCATAGGTCATACAGTATAAGAGAACTTCAGTAGTTATTAGCCATGTACCTTTATCACTTTAATAACAAGAAAAAACATAAATATTAACCAAAAGTTTACATCTCAGCAGTAATAAGATTGCTCTTTTACTACACACATAAGATGCAGAAGTGCTTTTGTAAAAGACAGAGTCTCAGTATGTTTTCCAGGCTGGCTTCGAATGCCTGAACTCAAGTGATCCTCCTGCCTTAGTTTCTTGAGCAGCTGGGACCACCGTGTCAGCCACTAGGTCCTCATAGCCATTTGTGCCTCTGCTTATTCGTGAGTAAGCATTATTCGCTAAAATTAGAAGCACTCACTAATGTAGCTGAGCCTTGGCTTGTGCTGTAGTGTACACTCTAGCTGATGGGCATCCATCTACTGGGAAATAATGTCTGTGTGGTTCTGAGCTCCACATTCCCAGGCCCTGTGAGTGGCAGAGAGTACTGGGAAGACATGCTTACAACACCCAGCTAAGATGGATTCCCTCATCCAACCGTTTAGCTGGACTTATCCAGGAGTCCAGACACTATCTGAAGGATGCCAAGCCCGTGTCCAGCACACGGTCATGCTCAAGTGGGAGCACTCACTGCTGGGGATGAGGGTCCTGAGACCAGGGTCCAGCTCAGCTCAATTTGCAGACCCTCTTAGTTACCCTGGGAAAGAGCGTCTCCCGGGAAGCCGGCAGAAGGGATGTCAGGGACTAGCAGCAGCCTCCAGGCCCAGGCCCAAGCCCAGGCCAGCTTCTCCTCACAGACAACACTTTGTGTCAAAATCTAGTCATTTTGTTGAAAAGATGCTCGGAAAAGTCTCTGAGATGGCAGTAGGGACACTGGCCAGATATTCTTTTATATAAACACATACACATATATACACATTTCCTTTTTAAGTCTTTCTTAGTTTTCTTTTAATTGGTATCTTTAAAAAGCATTTACTGTTATAAATGCCTGTTGAAAAATAAATCAAACACAAACACATGCAGATTTAAATGAAAAAAGTCAGCAGCCATCGTCCCTACTGTGGTCAATAGACAGCGACTTGAGAGGATCTGGGCTCATCTCAGAGACTCACCGCCAAATGCATCTATGAGGGAGTTTCTAGGTTGGGCTAGTGGGTGTGGGATGACCCACCCTAAATGGAGTACCACGTTCCATGGGCTGGGGTCCCAGACTTAAGAAAAGGAGAAACACAGCTGAGCACCAGCATCCACACTGCTCTCCACTTCCTGACTGTGGACTCAGGGTGAGCGGCTCCTCACTTCTGCTGTCTTCCTCATGATGGTGGACTGTCCCCTCCAACTGTAAACTGAAATTAACCCTTCCTGACGTAAGTCACTTTCTCAGAGACTACAGCCACCAGAAAAGGAACCAGTACAACCTCCCCATCCTCAGAGACAGGGGCTGCTACAAGGCTGGAGGTCACCCCCAACTGAGGCCTGTGCCCAGCCATACCTCTACACCTTTGTGGGAAGAACACCGACATCTGAGAGGCCCCCTGGGTCCCCTTCCATCACGCGGCACAGTGGGTACCCTTCCATGTCAGTACATGGAGCACTCCTCTTCTTCCTCCTCCTCACACTTTGAAATTACCAGGATGAAAGCTTGGCCTGTCTGAGTTGATGTTCTTCGCTCTTTGAAACCATGAAACAGTTTCTAAGGACTCAGCTCCCGTTGGGCTATGAATGTAAAATCCCCCTCCTGGGGTGCTATTTTGGTAAATTGTAGGCCCTTTACGATATGGAGCGGCTCTGAGGAAGTGGGTCACTTGGGATGGACCTTTAGCTGGCCCTAGCTTTTTGTTTACTGTTCCTTGATTGGCCCAGATATGAGCAAGCAGCCTCACTGTTGCTACCACCTCTGAAAGCCATTTCCCCCACCACCCCTTCCCTCCATGATGGACTGTATCTACCCTGACGCCATGGGCCCAAACAACCCCTTCCTCACTCAAGCTGCTCCTTGTCAAGTATCCAGTCCCAACAAGAAAAACAGCCAACGTGTTGTTGATAATTTTTAGTGAAGGTCATAATCCATACCACTCTCCTACTTGGATTTGTTTGTTTGTTTGTTTGTTTGTTTGTTTTAGATGGGAACCAAGCCTGGGTCCTCTGCAAGGGCAGCCGGTGCTCTTAACCACTAAGCCATCTCTCCAGCCCCTATTTGGAATTTTTAAGGATCAGTTTCCCCAAGTGAGGTTGAGCTAACATGTATAAAGTAGTGACGGCTTCGTGGCATCCAGTAAAATCCACTTTCTCACAGAGATGCTCCAGTCCCAGGGCAACTGCTGCAGCACCTACTGCCGTCAGCAGACAGGTTCTAAGGGTTTATTTTTGAAAGACGCAGAATTAACTGAATCTTGCCCTATTTACTGTTTACTGTCTGCATTGTGTAGATGTAGCATAATTTATTTAATCTAATTAATAACTCTGTATTAAGCATAGTTAGGATGTTCCTTAATTTTTTATAATACAATAATACTTCAATAAGTAATATGACCACATTATCTTCCCACACTTGCCTCAATGTTGCTGGTAATAGTAGTGACTTTGCTCCACTGGGGACTCAAACCTAGGGTGCTCCACTGGGTACTGACTAGGTAAAGTGCTCTACCACTGAGCTACATCCCCAGCCAGCGCACAAGAATATCTATGCAGTGGTTTTCTTCAAAATGAAATTACCAGGCCAAAGAGCATGCATAGTTTAACATTAGAAATGTTAACTAAAGAGAGCAAAGCATGCTGAGATGTCACTCCAAAAGGTTCTTTGTGCCTTTTCTGTTTACGGCCCCAGCCCCTGGGGAGACACCAGTACTGCTGTTGTCAGGTGGGTTTCTGATAGTGATCCTCAGTTTACAGTTTACTTCCCCCTCCCTCTTTCCTCCTTCCTCCTCCCTCCCTTTGGCCCTCCCTCTCTCTCTCCAAATATCTCACAAGGTCTGTTTAGTGCCTACCTTGGAGCCCAGCAGGTAAAGCAGCAGAGATTCCATGATGGAGAATAAGAATGGAAGAGGAGGTCAGCATACAGGAAAACGGCAGGAGAGACGCTGCCAGAACCAGGCTTACAGGAGAGAAAAGAATGACTTTCAAGACGGTAACTGCCTCGAGCAGAACTTACAGAGTTCAAGGATAAGAAAGACCATCAGGTCCTTTTGTGGTATCCCCCACGCCAGACCTGAGATCCACTGATTGCAATTTAGATCATTGTAACTGCTTTTTCTGCGTGTTAGACTGGTGTTCCATTTAAGCACAGAGCCTGGACACAAGGTAGTCATGTGACAGCCAGGTTACACCCCCTGCAATCAGTAAGTAGGATCAGCCTGTACCCACTGAGGAGCTGAGCACATTGTCCAGCAGTGAGCCATCCCCCCAGCCTCCAGCTCGCCCTTATCTTTCCTGTCTACCTCCACCAACAATTACTCACTGGGCACTGACTCAGCCGGGATGCTCTAGGTCCCAGAAGCAAGCTGGGGAAAAAAGGCAGACATGATCCACACCGTGTGTGCTCTGGGGGGACAGTGCAGGTGGCATGTCAAGGAGAATCATATTCCCGAGCAGCTTCTACCGAGGTGACCTCTAAGCCGATGTCCAGCAGCAACACAGCAAGTAGAAGGGGCAATGGGGCAAAGGCCTGAGGCAGGAGAGTGGCTTGTCCCTGCATGAGGGGAGGCCGAGCTTAGAGGCAGAGAGATGAGCAGGCTCAGAGGCAGGCCTCATGAGTTTGTCAGTCATGTGAGGAATAAAGGTTTAGGGTGGGGTTTCCCTTCCATCTCTCTCGTATTTAAGACTACTGCAAAGGCCTGGGGCTGAGAACGGATGGCATTGGACCTGCCTTTAACTATAATCTCTTCCCCGGCTGCCATTAAGGGCAGAAGCCAGAAGAGAAAAGAAAGAGGAGGGAGTAGGGGTGAGGAGGGAGAGGAGAGGGGGGAGGAGGGAAGAAAGAAAGGGAGAGGAGAGAGAAAGGGGAGGAAAAGAGGAGGAAGAAGAAGGAAGGAGAGGGGAGAAAAAGTAGACCAAGGGGAGAAGGAGGGTGATGAGGAGAGAGAGGGAAAATAGAGGGGGGAAGAGAAGGGAGAAGGCAGCAGCAACAGAAGGCATTGAGGGGTCCCTAGGCTTCTGAGTCGCCCCTACAAGCTCCACGGCACTGGAAAGTGATACCCAGCGTCATTAAAGAAGACGTGTTCCCAGGACGCAAGCATTCCCAGAAAACGGACTCGAGCCCAAACATGATTCACAGAAAATGGTACCTGGAGAGAGGGGCACCTGCCACCACCAGTTCTGGAGTTGAGATCAACAGTCAGCGGCAGCCTTTGAGGAAGGATAACCACCTCCTAAAACTTACCTGGAAATGCAAGGAGCCAACGGAAACCTCCTCCCACTCCTCTTCCTCAAAAGGCCTCGCTCCCTTGGTGATGATGTTGGCCCGGAAGCGGGAGACGAGATCTTTCACCGAGAATGACTCCTCTTTTCCATGCTCGTCACTGTTCAGACAGACCAAGAAGGGTAAGTGGAGAGAGACAGCAGGTGTACACACTGTGGCAACAACTCTACACACTTGGCTCCCCGTCCCTGACGAGGCCAATTCTCCTCCGATGGTCAGGAAAAAACTCTCACGGGTGTAAGAGCAAGACACACCCATCTGTTAGACACATTCACTGCCCCGCCCTAGGATATGGTCCCACCTCCAGGGAGAAGACCGCAGGAGGCAAATGATGGATAAGTCTTAGCCGAAGAAACCAGACGGACAGAGTAAAAATGAGCAAGTCTCCAGAAAGTGTCAGTTCCATAACACGGGACGGGACATGGTCAGAGGAGAACTGTCAGCACTTGAACTACAAAGACCTGCTTAGCACAGAGACCAGAACATAAGGGGAAAAAAAAAATCATAGAGGATAAGATTCTTCGTTTGTGTAATGAGACAGGATCTCGCTATGTTACCCAGGTTGGCCTCAAATATGTAATCCCCCTGCCTCGGCATCCCAAGTGCCGTGATTATAGCCATGCACCACCAGGCCCAGCTTATACCGTTCTCATTTGAAAGTGTTGTTTATTGTCACGAGCTTCTACAAAATGACTTTCTGTGTTCCCATACACCCCAGCCCATTCAGAGGAATACACTGAAAACAGTTCTTAAGACCTCCCCAACACAGGAGCACACACTCTGATATATCAAAGAACGAGCGAGACTATCTGCAGTGAAAGAAATCTCAACAGGGCGGCTTCAGTCAGACTGGCTCAGATGAGATATAAGTGGGGTGTGGGGTCACTCGGGGGGCACACATCTGTAAAACTTCTGAGTGCCATGGGCTTAGGGCTTTTTGCACTTTGCATACTTCCACAAATTCCTAGAATTTCCAGGTCGGTATATGCTGGGAAGTGGCAGGAGACAGTCACTGAGTGGTAGAATGTGCTCTGGGGAAAGAGCTGAAAGGCTATGGGTTGACATAGGATTGTCAAAAACTGTGACATCCCTTCTGAATGGCAGGGGTCACATATAAGCCAGAGACTGGGAGATCTCGGCCTAGCTTCACTGCAAGCCATGTGTACCTCCAGCAACCCAAGAGGACTTCAGTTTTCAGTCCTTCAAGTCTGGATTTACTTTCCAAGTTGGTACAACCTCCTTTGTGTTTTGTGAAAGGGAAAGTTTCTTGTCTGAAAGCTATTTTGTTACCATGCAAATGGGGGAGCCCATCAATCTGCATATGGATACTGAGAAACCCCAATCCCTGGCTCAGTCTCTTACCAATGACATCATTCAGGGCCAGGCAGCCTCGCTCTAAACCAGCTGGTGGGAAACATATGCCCCACTGGTAGATAGAAACCTGGGTCACAGCATGCCTGTCCTCTCTACCTTCCACATTAAGGACCCACTTTCTCCTGTTCTGGGTGTCTGAGAGAAGGGTCCCCTGGTTCTGAGAAAAATCAGAACACCAGAAACTCCAAAGCCATGTCACAATTCTATACCTGAGGAAGACAAACTTGGTCCATAGCCAGGGAATCCTATTGGGTGTTCTCTCAAAGGACTAGAAACTCCAACAGCCAATCTCAAGCAAAGAGTGAAAGTCAAGGAGTTCAAGGTGTTCAAGGTGTGAACATGTGTGCACAAGACCACATGGCGCATGATGTGCCAGGAGTGCATACCTACCCCCCTGACCTGAGGGCTAAGAATGAGAAGTCTGTGTCCACCGTGGCCTGATGAACAGCTGGATGACTTTCTCTAACCAATTGCCTGGCTACCAGACCCGAGTTTCCTCTGAGGAAAAATGAGGAGTTGGTATGGTCAGAACTTCCCAAGAGTTGAGAAGGTATCCTAAAGGCATCTGGGCCCTCATGAGAGCACTGGGTAGAGCGAGCAGCCAGGGACACTGTGTCTGAAGGTGTATCTTACAGACAAAAGCTGCTTGTAATCACGCTCCAAATGCTTTTATAACCACCCCTTGTGTGAAGTAGGGCAGGAATCCTGAGAGACAGAGACAGTAGGAGGGTGGGCAATGAAACCAGGTCGAGCTGGTATGGAATTAAAACAGGGTGTAGAAATAGAATAATTAAACCTGGAGCTGGGGTTCTCCCTGTTTCATGCGAGTGTCTAGAGAGACCATGGAGGATGCTATAGTCTGGACCTTAAATATCCTCAAAGACCCATGGTAGAATCTGGATCCCCATCATTGTACCACTAGAAATGGCGGAAACTTTAAGAGCTGGCACTACTTGGGGGTGCTTGGGTCACTGGAGACATGTCCTTAAAGGGAACTGTCCATGTCCCCAGCTCTTCTCCATTCTCTCACCACACACTCCTGCTGTGATGGGCCACCAATCATGACTGGCACCCCAGAAGACAGGCATTCTCTTTACAAGTTGATTGTCCCAAGCCTTTGCTCCAGTAATGGTAGGCTGATGGACACAGGCAGTAAATGAGGACACTCAGAATTATTAGCAGGAACTGGGGCTGAGGAAATGGTTTAGATGGTACCTGTGTCGATCCCCAGCACTCACGGAAAAAGCCTTGCTTGGTGGCACCCACTTGTAATCCCAGTGCTGGAGAGGTGGAGGCAGGGGGATCCCTGGGGCTTGAGAGTCGGCTGGCCTGGCCTACTCTGTGAGCTCTAGGTTCAGTGAAAGACCCTGTCTCAAAAAACAAGGTGGAGAGTAATTGAGAAAGAAACCTGAGATTGATCTCTAGCCTCCACACCCACGTGTATGCATGTGTACCCTCATACTTATATATGTGAGGATATATTGTGTACCCTAATAAAATTTCCTGAAGATCAGAGAGACAAAGGAACAAGCCACCTCTTATCTCTAGGACTCCTCAACCTGAAAAGCCTCAGCCGATAGACCTCTAGCCGAATGAGCTTCCTCAGCCGAAAAAGCTTTAGTTTCTGTCTCCTCATGCCTTATATAGCTTTCTCTGCCCACCCATATCATTTCCTGCCTCAATTATCCTAGTGCTGGGATTACAAGTGTGTGATTCCCAAGTACTAGGATTAAAGGTGTGTGCCACCACTGCCTGGCATCTATGTTTGATCTAGTGGCTTGTTCTGTTCTCTGATCTTCAGGCAAATTTTATTAGGATACATAACATACCACCACACTTCCCCTTTTTGTCTAAAATAACAAATTATAAATTAAAGCAATAACATAAAAAATTAAAGCACCTCCAGTCAGACAGAGGAAGCCCCTTTCAACTGAAGCCCTTTTGGCTAGAGGTCTTTTAGCTAGAGGCTCTTTCAGCCGAGGAATTCGTGAGGTAAGAGGTAGTGGCTGTGGCTTGCTCTGCTCCTCTGATATTTCAGCTTTCACCCCAATATCTGGTCGGGTTTTTTATTAAAAGACCAAATTAGATTTTGTGTTACGTATATGCACGCATGTGCACATGCCCACACACTCAATTTAGGAAGGAAGGAAGGAAGGAAGGAAGGAAGGAAGGAAGGAAGGAAGGAAGGAAGGAAGGAAGGAAGGAAGGAAGGAAGGCGGGCAGACAAACAAGAATTGCCCAAAGGATCACTGACTTCACTGGGCCTCATTTCTCACCTGTAACTCAAGGGCCAACTTCCAGATCTTCCCTCCCCAGGTGGGCACCAGTCCCCCCAGGGGCAAACAGTTATTTATAGTGTCTCCTGGCCCCAGGGAAAGGGTCTAACCTGGCATTTAGCCGCTGCTGAAGCTCCAGGACACTCGATGTGTTCACCAGCAGATACTGCGCCTCATTCACCAGGGACAGGGTGGCGACAGTGCCAGGAGGCTGCCCTGAAAGGGAAGCAGGGAGAGAAGGGTTGCTTTCCGGGCAGTGCTGCTGACTCTCCTTCCCGAGGCCCGCAGTTTCTACAGGCAGATGCCTTCCACATGGGGAAAATGTCAATGCTGGGGAAAGCAAGATCGCTCTAAGCGTGGCTCAGACCTCTGCAAAGACAGACGAAGAAAAAACATGCTGCGCATGCATGAGGGCCTGAATCAAGCCCCAGCACTCAGGTAAAAAGCCCTTCTAGGTAGCACCCTCTGTAATCCCAGGGCTGGTAATCCTAGAATATGCTAGGTCCCTGCTTCCAATAATCCAGAGATAATAAAACACTGAAGTGAATTTATTCTGACAAAGAGTTTTGTTCTTGAAGCAGGGTCTTCTTGCACGGTCAGGCTGGCCCCAAGTTCCCAGTCCTCCTGCCTCTACCTCCCCAGGTTACAGGCATGCTCCACCACCACACTCAGACTCAGAGACAATTCTTGGAAGCAACAGTATAGGGCTAGAGAGAACCCTGCCTGCCCTGGGCAAGACAGGCCTGCAATGTATGCAGGCTTACAAAGAGCTTCCATCAGTTATATTCATGTATACGTACATACATACATATATATGTATGTGTGTGTGTATGTGTGTGTGTGTGTGTGTGTGTGTGTGTGTGTGTGTGTGTGTATTAATTCGTATGAGTGTTTGCCTACATGTCCATGGAGGCCAGAAGAGAGCATTGGATCACCTGAGACTGGAGTGGCAGATGGTTGTAAGTCACCACGTGGGTGCTGGAAATCGGACCCAGGGCCTCTGGAAGAATAGCCAGTGCTTTTTTTTTTTTTATCTCTTCTATCATAAATTACATCCCTTGCCGGGCGGTGGTGGCGCACGCCTTTAATCCCAGCACTCGGGAGGCAGAGCCAGGCGGATCTCTGTGAGTTCGAGGCCAGCCTGGGCTACCAAGTGAGTCCCAGGAAAGGCACAAAGCTGCACAGAGAAACCCTGTCTCGAAAAACCAAAAAAAAATAAAATAAAAAAATAAATTACATCCCAACTGCAGTTCCCCCTACCCCATCCACTCCTCCTCCATTTCCCTTCAGAAAAGCACAGTCCTCCCAGAGATAACAACCAAACATGGCATATCAAGTTGCAATAAGACCAGACACCTCCCCTCATATCAAGGCTGGATGAGGTAACCCAGTAGGAGGAAAAGGGTCTCCAAATCAGGCAAAAGAGTCAGAAACAGCTTCTGCTCACACTGTTAGGAGTCCCACAAGAACACCAGACTACACAACCACAACATATATGCAGAGTGAGTAGGTCAGTCGCATGCAGGCTCCCTGGTTGTCAGTTCAGTCTCTGTGAGCCCCTGTGAGCCCAGGTTAGTGGATTCTGTGGGTTTTCTTGTGGTGTCCTTGGCCCCTCTGCAGCCAGTGCTTCTAACCACTGAGTCATCTCTCCAGCCCCACAAAGCACTTCTATACCTAACCAGAGAGAGACAGGGAGACAGACAACAGTCAGACAGACAGACAGACAGTCTTTGCCAATAAACAGAAGAAGATGCTCTAACAGCCAGTGGATCTGCATATGGTACTTAATGGAGAAATAAACAGAAGATTCAAAGCTCCTGAAAAGTAGCGGGGGGGGGGGGGGAACCTATTGAAAGAAACTATAAAATTCTTCTATTTTTATCCAAACTGGTGATAAAAGGGCTGGCTGGGTCGGGGCCTATGGAGCATCTTCAAGCAGGGATTGTGGTCTCCAGAGTATGTGGTCCGACTCCATCTGTCCTCTTTGGTCTGCCTAACAACGGATGCCTCCACATCATCCTCTACAAAGGGCTGGCTCCCCTGTCATGGAGGAAAGGCACACTGCCCTGGGGCTGACCACCTCCAGCATAGCAAACAAAAGTCCCATTCAAACCCTGGAACCAGGACCAGGGAAATAAAAGTCTCCACAGCCTGGGCAAAAGACCCTCCCACAGGTCAGGTGGGTCCAGCCCTTCACTGGCTGTGGAGCTGCAGGACCTAATTAAGCTGTCGAGTGACAGGCATGAAAGGCTTTTCATGTTAGAACCCTGTGCTCCGGTCACCGACCTCAGAAGAAAGGCTGAGTGACAGTGTGCTAACCAGGGTCCCTTCTTCCCCAGCAATTCTTGATTCATGAAATTTCCCAGGAGTGAGGGGTGCTGAGCACCACCAGGTCTATCTGCAAATGACAGCCGCTCTCAAGTGAGGGAACCAAACGAGAGCACAGCTATCCTGTAAGAGAGTGCTAAGATTTGTTCTTTATGTTCAATAATTATTTTTCAAAATAATCATATATTTATGTTGTTTTGATTGACTAGACACTGTTAAAATTATAAGAACTTAGTCCAGAAGTAATTTCCTAACCCTTAGACCCAGATGGTCTAAGCAAACTTCAAAGTCTTTGTATGCTTTAATTTATATTTTTTTTTAGTTTTATAGAGATGTGGGGTGGTCAATAAAATATTTCTATGTATAAAATAACTCTAAGGCAATATTTCACCAAGAAGAAATGAAATACAAGTTTGAAAAGGAAAGAAATAAAATGCTGGGCATGGTGGCACACCTTTAATCCCAGTGCCTAGGGGGCAGAGGCAGGTGAATCCCTGAGTTCAAGGCCAGCCTAATCTATAGAGCTAGTTCTAGAATGGCCAGGATGGCCAGGGCTACACAGAGAAACTCTTTCTTGGAAAAAAAAAAAAACCAAAAAACTGGGTGTGGTGGCACACACCTTTAATCCCGGTACTCTGAAGGCAGAGGAAGGCCTCTGTGAGTTCGAGGCCAGCCTGGTCTACAGAGTGAGATCCAGGACAGCCAGGGATACAAAGAGAAACCCTGTCTCAAAGAAAACAACAACAGCAACAACAAAAGGACCTACACACGGGCTGGGGAGAGGGCTCAGTGATAAAGTCCTTGCCATGCAGACATGAGAGCAGAAGTTGAGATGGTTAGGACCTGTGCAATGCCAGATGCAGTGGTGTGCATCTGTGATTCCTGTAAGCCTCAGGTGAGATGGGAGGCAAAGCCAGAAGAATCCCAGGAGCTCGAGGTCTATCATGCCTGAGTAAGCCAGAGACTCTGCCTCAAGCAAGGTGCACATGTGCAAACACACACACACACACACACACAATGCATATACACACACATCATATACACATACCATACACACACACTATACACATAAACATGTACACACACCATACACAACACAACATACATACACATACATACAAACACACATGCATTAACACACACTATAGACACATTAAAAGACATATGAACTACATACATACATATAAACACATACAGATATGTTTACATACTCACGTATTTTAATGAAAACTCATGAAATTTAAATTTCTATGACATTCAAATGACTATCAAAGTACTGAAATAATGTTGGAAAAAGTCCTATACAAGTTTTAACTCAAAATAGCACTAAGTAAAATGTGCTGCAGGGCTGGAGAGATGGCTCAGCAGTTAAGAGCACTGGCTGTTCTTCCAGAGGACCCAGGTGCCGTTCCCAACACTCACACAGTGGCTCGCAACTGTCTATAAAAATTCCAGTTCCAGGGGATCTGATTCCCACTTCTGGCCTCTAAGGGTGCACAGACATGTGTACAAGCAAATCACAGGCACACATGCAAGCACATAAAACAAAAATAAAATGTTCTATAGATACTATCTTCTGTAACAGTTTAAACTACCTTCAAAACTTTAGATGAAAATGTAAAAATACTCTGAGGAAGAATGAAACTTCATCTTTTTCCTAAAGTCTCCAAACATAAAACTGGTAGAATTCCAGCGGGACCCAGAGAGCGTTGCACCCGGAGTGGCATCCTGGAAGCGGTCACAAGCGCCACCATCCTGCTCTGGTTCCATACCGTGCAGGCCCCAGGCCTCTTCTCTCCCCTGTGCCCACCTCCGCTGCTGCACCCAGGCACCAGCTGTGGCTCTGTGTTCCCATGTCTCCTCCTGTGGTGCCGCTGCACCCCAAGCCTCAAGGGAGGTCACAAAACTCCCAGCTTAGAACCCTGCAGTGTGTCCTGCAGCCACAAGGTGAAGTCAGGAGCCTGCTGCCCTGGGAATCCACTTCCTGGGCTGAGAATGACACATGCAGAGTAACTAGTTCTCCAGCCCTTTAGTACTCCATCCCGGTGGAATACCTTTTCCAGGTGTCTTCCTTGCATTCCGCTGGAAGTTAGGACTTTGCTTGATTAGATGACATGGACGGCCAAAAAACTGTGACAGCCATCTTGAAACATTTTCTCCGCAATCATAAGTATTTACCCTGGTCAAACAAACAAAAACAAACAAAACAGTGAATTTTTATGCAGCAATTCTTCAAATAATTATTCAAATAGAAAATAACCAAATTAAAATAAGAACACAAAATAAAACATTACAAAGTCCCCACTGGCAGGCAGCCTGAGGCAGCAGATGGCTTGGGAAGCGACAGGGATCTCTCCCAGGTCCAAAAATATCTGAGATGGGGGCTCGTGGGAGGCTTTCAGAGCTGATCAAATGCTTTACAAACCCTCCTTCCCGAAAGATCTTCTTTGTATTAAAGATTGACACTGGGGAGCACAGAGCTCAGAGTTTGAGACTTCCAGAGTGATATTTTCCTTTCATAAGGCCTTATGCCCAAAATCATGCCCTGGTTTTTACAACAGGTTTGATGGAATCTTTTCTCTCCCAGTCAGATCACATGGGCTGATGTGTTTCTTTCACAAAACTGAATGCTGTGTCTATAAGGCACTGAAGTGTAAGTAAATCTATTGATCTGGTGTTTTAAATTGTGGGATCTAGAGCTGGAGAAACAGCTCAATTTTTAAGTGTGCTTACTGCTCTTCCAAAGGACCCAAGTTTGGTTCCCAGAGATCACGTGACAGCTCACAACTGTCTGTAGCGCCAGCTCAAGGGGTTCTGGTGCTCTCTTCTGACTTCCAAGGGCACCAGGAATGCACAATGTACATACACATGAAACAAAATAAAAATCTAGAATACTCTAGAATCTTTAAAAATGTATATCATAAAGATTTAAGGCCACATCTCACCTTGAGATCACAGTATCTCAGGGTTACAAAGCGGATATTGTTGAAAACTTAAATTCTACTGGGGAAAATGGCTGGCTCCTTTTCCAGGAAGACCAGAGACCAAGAAACCAGTTTGCAGCGCTCTTGTCCCTCATACTTTCAGAAACCACACCAAGATCACAGTCATCACAATCAATCTCTGAGCAGAAGTGCCTCCAACCTCCAGATGTCTGAAAAGCATCGTTAACCAGAACACTGTGTTCGTCTCTGCTGCAGCCAAGTGAAATTGATGACCTAGCAAAAAAAAAAAAAAAAAAAAAACTGCACATATTCTAGCCGGGCAAGACCGTTCAGTGGGCTAAGGCACTTACTGCCAAGCCTGCCAACCTGAGTCCATCCCCAGAATCCACATGGCAGAAGAAAAAAACCAACTCCTACAAGTTTTCCTTTGGCTTCCACACATATGCTATGGCACATGCATGCACACACATACACACATACAAATAAATAATGAAAATAACTGCACATATCCCTATGTAAATACAGTTCTTTCTGTCAGAAGTTTTGAGTATAGCAATATGGAAAAAATGTTTGCCTGAAATTCATCGTCCCCATGAAAATGTACTGGAACGAATATTTAAATTGTCAAAGCTGTTAAATTGGTACAAATACTACTAGGGAGAAGACGTAGCTTGTGCTCAACACCTCAGCTGCCAAGATGAAAGACATGCAATTGGCCGTCCACATCACATTAACACCTTTCTCTTCTTTCCTAGTGGTGTAGTACTCAAAGTCCTGGAGGGATTCTTGCCTGTCACGTTGGGACTCTGTGGCTAATTCTGACCGGCATGTTGATTGGAATAAAAACACTGGGACATTAGTGAGTCACGCCTTTGGGCATGCCAGTGAGGGTGTTTCCATGAGGGTGCTTCCAGAGAGATCATCTGAGGGAAGGAAGCCACACCCTGATTATGGGTAGCATCAACCCCAGGGGCTGGTGTCCCTAACTGTAAGAGGGAGATAGGAGAAAACTACAACAGCTTCACTCCCCTTTCTCTGCCTTCTCCCTGTCAAGTGTTGATTGGGCACCCTTGAACTCCATCTGCCACTGCCAGCAGCCATCTCTAACACCAATCCTTCCCAATCATGAGGGACTGAACCCTTGAATCATATGCCAAAATAAACCCCGCCCCACTATGGAGCTCTTCCCAAGTGTTTGGTCACAGCATTGAAAAAGTAACTGACACCAGGTGATGGTGGTATGCACCTTTAATCCCAGCATTCGGGAGGCAGAGCCAGGCGGATCTCTGTGAGTTCGAGGCCAGCCTGGGCTACAGAGTGAGATCCAGGAAAGGTGCAAAGCTACACAGAGAAACCCTGTCTCAAAAAACCAAAAAAAGAAAAAGTAACTGATGTAATCATGCCTCAATTTGGATGTAGCTTTAGCAAATCGTATCACATGAACTCACAGCAGTTACAAAGGAAACACATTTGCCATTCAGGTAGTGCCACCATCTACTGAACATATCTGTTTTTCTTTCCATCAGAAGGTTTGCAATAATTAATAGATAATTCACAGTCTAGAAGTTAAGGGGTGAATGATGGGTGGGTAGGTATGCATGTTTGCATGTGGGGGTACACATACATGTGTAGGCACATGAACATATGTGTGTCTGTGTGGACGCCAGAGGTCAAACTTGGGTATCGTTCCTCAGGAGCCATCCACCTTTATTTCTTTAAAAACTTCAATTTGTTAACTATATGTCTCTTTTTAAGATTTATTTATTTTTATTTTTATGAACCTGAGCATTTGCCTGCGGGCATGTATGTACACCACCTACATGCCTGGTGCCTGCTGAACTCAAAAGAGGGTGTCAGGTCCCCTGGAACTGGAGTTATAGATGGTTATAAACCAGCTGGTGGGTACTGGGAGCCAAAGTCAGGTCCTTTGAAGAGCAGCAAGTGTTGTTAACCACTGAGTCATCCTCCACCCCGGGTTTTTGTAACAAAGTCTCTCCTGGAACCTGGGACGCATCAATTTGGCTAGGCTGGCTAGCCAGCAAACACCGGGATCACCTGCCTCCTCCTCCCCATGCTGAGATTAAAAGGGCATAACATTACACCCATCTTCTTCCTCATGCTTGAGTGGCAAGCACTTTTTTGGCCTAATTGTCTCCCAGCTGCTGCTTATTATATATAAGTCTCTAGTGAACTGTCTATTGTTGCATACATTATTGAGGGAGAAGGTTGGTTGGTATTGGCTTGGACAGACTTTTCATGATTGGAAAATCTGCTGTTCCATGTTCTTAGGTGCAGGTCATGTTTAGGTTTCAAGGAATACAGATGCTCTAGAGCCCAAACTTTGCTGCTGAAAGTGAGACTGATGGGGGCAGGGAATAAGCCTTAGGAATCATAGACAGGGAAGAGCGCGGCAGGCAGAGAAAACAGCAAATACAGACTTGAGAAGGAAGCATGCGGCTTAGGTGTGAAGGTTACAGAGAAGCCAGCGTGGTCGGGGTGGAGTATGGGGCAGGCAGAATGGAAGGTGTAAGGAGGTCCACTGTGCAGGGCAAAGCTCTCTCCTCCCTGTGGCCACTGTGGCCATGCGTGTTACCTGCTCCAGAGCCTCACCTGTCTGCACACACTCTGCTCTGGCAAATCTGAGCCCGTTCACTGTTTTCCTCAAGAGGCACCTCTATAGGATCCATCCCTAATGAACAGAAGAAGGTAGAAGCAAATTGAGCACCACACCAAACGAATGACTGGGCAAGTGAATGCTCACTGTTAGGAAACACATCCAGTTTCATGACGCTGGGATTTGGTTAGATGAGGAAAGTAGCTGGCTCTTATAAACCGATAGCACAGATCTTCTTCCTCACTATCCGCACCATGGTGTGTGCTTCAAGGAGCTTCCTGGTGGAACATCTACACTGCGCCATCACATCCACAGTCCCCAGGACCCTCCACTAATTGCTTGGATAGATTGCTCTGCTCTATGAGTCTCCACCTTCTGAAGTCATTGTCCTCTAAGCTGTCTTAAAGCATTTAGAAACAGACAGCCAGTACATGGCCATACTGCCCCAAATGCATCTGATCTCATCTGGTCTCAGAAGTGCAGCAGGGTCAGGCCTGGGTGGCATTTGGATGGGAGAAATAGACAGGCAGGATGATACTGTAAGATACTGGCAGAGAGTGTACATTCCAGAATCAGATTAGATTCAAGCACCAGCTGCATTTATGGGATTGGAAAGGGATTCCTATGTTCTTCAATTGTTATGTACACCACTTATATACAGGACTAACATACACATGTAATGGGTTAAATAATAGCATATTAGCATCCTGGTACATGAATTTGAACAGAAAGTATACAATAAAAACAGGCCATATTTCAACATTATCAATAAAAAAATCAACATGATACTATCTATCCAAAGCCAGCAAAGTATTAAAACATATTGCCATGTAGCATTTTTTTTCTCAAAGCATCAAGGATAATTCAGGACAAGATAATCTACTAACATAATACATCACATCAACAGATGATGAGACTCAAGCATGTTTGTGTCACGTGTCCTCCACATGTGGAGAAGAGCTGGACCTCTGAGTCTGAGACAGAGGAAAGGATGACGGAACAGCACAAGAGCAAAAGCACTGTTCCCTTGAAAAGAGGCAGGTGAACCTCTCCCAACAGGGCTCACTATCATCTACCCCATGCTGTGAAAGTGCCTCAGTGGGAGAGGGAAGTTTCAGCTATTGGAAGTTCTTGCATGGCAGAGCAGAGAGGACCCTCTGAGGCCAGCCACCTCCCTTGAGGCTTTTCAGTCCATTGTAGCTGCAGATCTGGTCAGGCTACTAGTGCATTACATCTTAGAGAAGCCAAGATGTATCTGGAAAGACTAGAAAGATGCATCCAAGACACTAGGAAACATGGGGCTTGAGCAAGAGAGACTTGGTTTTTGTTTGTTTTGTTTTGTTTTGTTTTGTTTTGTTTTGTTTTGTTGGAGGGAGATGTCCAAGACAGGGTTTCTCTGTGTAATAGCCCTGACTGTCTTGGAAATCCCTTTGTAGACCAGGCTGGCCTCAAACTCACAGAGATCCACCTGCCTTTGCCTCCTAAGTGCTGGGATTAAAGACATAAGCCATTACCACCTGGAGAGACTTGCTTTTTAAATGTGTCATTCTTCTATTAAAAAATAATAAATAAATATTAAAACTTAAAATTGCCCTGCCAGAGGCCATAAGAATATAGAGCAGATGACCACTGATATTCATAAGGTCAACCCACCAGATGAATAACTCTCTGATGGAATCTAGTCAAGCAAGGCCTACGGGGCCACCGTCTATGGATGCTGTTCTGCTTCTGTCTGTAATTTTCTCATATGTTGCTACAACTCTTCCCTAAAAAGAACAGCTGTGGGGTTCTTCCTACAGCCAATTGGTGGTGTGTTTTATACTTTCTGGGCACATGTATATCTGTGGATGGTCAGGAAGATGATTTCTTCTTAAACTGTACAATTTTGATGAATAGAAATAATATTAAGATATTTTTCATAGCTCAGACTGACACAAGAAAATAACAGTATTCTCAGCTACAAAGACAGATCTTTACACCTTTAGCTGATTTAAGACCTCAGAGCAAATTCAAAGCAGAATAGTTGCCCCTGCAAATGAATCGCACAAGGACAGATGTCTGGTTATTGAACCAAGGTCAGGCATGAAGTGACTTTAGTGCCAGTTCTTCTCTTGCAAAACTCTGGCTGATACCATTGAAGACATAACCACCTACACAAATTCTAACTCTCTATACTCAACTCCTAACCTCAGTTTTATGAAACAAGACTCAAGGTTCAGCCAACTAACTGTTTATGTTTAGTTCCTGAGATGCTTTTAAGGTCACTGTTCCTTGAGAAAGTATGGAGTACTCGAGTGCTACATGTCTCCCATCTTTGCTTTAGAGACTGCACATCAGAGAACCTGACTGACAGCCTAGCATTGCCTTGGTTACTCACTTCCAGCTGCTCTGCCTGGTCAGCGCGACATTCCAAGCCTGAGAGAAAACATGTGATTTCTCATGTGTTGTCAGAATGGCTCTGCTTCTTATTGTCTACTCAAGAAATGCAATGTGACCCTCAAAATGTAACTCATATATTGTCTAGAGTTTTCTGTTGAGAAGAAGATTTTCCAAGATGGAGTAAAAAAGAAAGTTACCATCAGAACACATGCATTCCTTTCCTAATACCATTCAGATACAAGTTCAGTTCTCACTTGACATCGTGGATTTTTTTGCATACCCTGGGTGCGGTCTTGGAGCAGTATCTCCAAAGACCATGGTATTGCCCAAAATCAGCAGCAGCTCAGATACCCTTCAGTGAATGAATGGACAGATACACTGTATTACATCCACACTCAGACACACTGCTCAGTAACATGCAGTTACCGGTCATGTTACAGGCAGGACTTAAGTGGACCCAAAACTGTCTTGCTGAGTGAAAGATACTACACAATGCCCTTGAACCCACAGTCTCTTTGGTCATCAGACATTAAGGTTGGGGAAAGAGAAACCACACAGGCGTAGCTCCATGAACTTCCCCTGGAATGATGGGTTCTTCTGTACTTGTGCTGTGGGGTGATTGCCCAAATACGTACATGTACTAAAATTCATACAGTAGAACAAAGGGTCAATATCAGTATTCACTTTGGAACTCTAAAATACTGACCTATTGGTTTAAGGAAAACTCAACCACAGAACCAGAAAAAGCACAGGCAAGAAAAAAAGGTCAGGAAGACATGATTTTAGGATATCATGAAAGTTCAGTCATGATATTCTATAAGTTATGAGTGGGGAGGGATAAGATGCAGGAGAGGGGTAGAGAATTATATATTATAACCATTGACTCAGTGAGTAAAAGTATCTAATACACAATTGTGTCTGATGACCTAAGTTTGACCCCAAGAACACACATAAAAGGCTAGATAGGTAGCATGCATGTGTAGTCTCAGCACACTTACAATGAGATGGGAATAAGAGAAAGCAGAATCAGAAGTTTGAGAGCCAGCTAGCCTGGAGTAGATAGCACAGCAGCAGAAACGAGAGAGACCTTGTCTCAAAAACAAAGAGGAAAGAGAGAATTGACTCCCTAAAAGTGGTTCTGTGATGCCCACATACATGCCGTACGTAGCACATGGGTACCCACACTCACACGTGCATACTGTGACTTTTAAAAGGAAGAAAAAAAAGAAATATAGGAAAGAGAGAACCTTAAGAAATTAAGCCAAATGTTAAACTTCGTTAAAACTGGATGGCAGAGTTGTGTGTTACATTATTTTCTACCTCTCTGGTGGCAAACACTGTAGCCATAAGCCATGGGTAGCTATTTAAAGGGATTAAAATTTAATAAGTTTTGAAATTCAGTTCTGGTGTCTTCTGACCACATTTTGAGGATTCAGTGGCCACATATGACCAAGTGGCTGCCAACCTATACAGTGTAGATGCTGAACACCCCCATTATCATAAACTGCACTGAGCAGAACTGGCTGCACTCTCCTATATGTAGATGGCTCACGATAAAAACCAAGAGGAAAGAACCAAAGCCTAAAATACAAAGCATGATGGGTAAAAGAAGAAATGCAAGCCCTAAGATCCCAGGCTTATATCCCTTCACTTTTGACAATTTTCCTGAAATAAAAAGAACACACACTTTTGAAAATAATTTTAACATTTGGTAGAAGAGAAGACATCAGTCTGTTTGGTTTGGTTTCTAATCTGAGAATGAAAGGTGCCCCCAGTGGTCACTCTGTGGAAGTGAACCCTTTTCACACCTTTGGCTTTGATGACCATGATCCTCCGCTGCAGGTCGATGAAGGGCTGGATCAGACAGAGCCTTGGCTCCTGCTTCTGACTCAGGCAAACGCCATTGTGATTCACAATCATCCAGCTCCGGTCATACAGCAGCCCTTTGCTCCCTACAGGCCACTTGGTCACCTAAACAGAAGGAGAGGATTTAGGCCAGGGCTCCTCGAAATCACTCATATCAATCATTTTACAAATACAGATGGCCTTCATGGATTCAATGCATACTCTTGAAAGATGAGAAGAGGAAAACACACAACAGAGAGAGCTTTGCAAAGGAGATGTTGTGGGAATGAGAGACCTTCCCTTCAGTCCCCAGAACCATTCTCCACCCTTCACCACTGACCAGGCAAGGCATGTGCATGCAAAAATTCACAGTGCAGGATCTATAGTAGCAATGCTCTGTCTCACCCCAAGGCTAGCATCCCTCCCCTTAGGCGTCCACAGATGCCACTTTCTGTAGAGCCTTCCACTACAGTGGATGCTGGTCCAGGAACCTCCTAACACTACATACGACTATACCGAAATGGTCACTGAATCGGCCAACTTCAAATCTGTAAGTTTTCTTGCTGTCCTGGTTTCAATTACTGTGACAAATACCCTGGCCAAAAGCAACTTTGGGGAGGAAAGGTTTTATTTGGCTTACAATTCCATGTCACAGCCCTGTCATTGCTGGGAAATCACAGAGGCAGGCGCTCGAGAAGATTGCGTGCGTTACATCCAGTCAGAGCTGAGAGAAATAAATGCACCCATGCTGCCTGCTCAGCTAGCTTTCTTCACTCTCACACAGTTCAGGGCCCAGCCCGTGAAATGGTCCTGCCCCTATTCAGAGTGTATCTTCCCACCTCAAGGAACAATCAAGAAAACACTCCACAGACTTGCCCTCAGGCCAACACGATTTAGATAATTCCTCGCTGATATTTCCTCTTCCAGGGTAACTCTAGTTCACATCAGGCTGGTCATAAAAAATTAACCAGCCAATCTGCATTGTTCATATTTATACAGAATTTAAATATAAAGCACGTGAGTATGCCCAAATCTTGTATTCCAATGCCATTCACAACCAAAAGGAGTGATCCTCCTTGGAGAACGGATTGAAGGAAAAGCCTCAGAGTCCTGGTATGTCCCTCCTGTGCTTGTCCTATGAACACAACCCCTCTGTAAAAACAAAAGGGAAGGCAGAGTCCTGCCTGAAGGAGCTCATGTGCCTACCGTATCCATCATCCTCCTTGTTGCTGTGACCAATCCCTGATGGGAAACAACCGAAAGGGGAGGAGTTTGTTTGGGCTCAGGGTTTGTGGGTACAGCCCATCACGGTGGGGAAGGCCTAGTGGTGGGGACAGCTTGAGCCTGTGGTGACAGAAGTCTGTGGCTGCTCATTCGCATCTCCACAGACCAGGAAGCAGTGGAGGGACAGAGGCAGAGTCAAGCTGTAGATCTCAAGACCCACTTCCTCCATCTCAGATCCACCTCCCAAAGATCCTACAAAACAGCGTCACCAAGTGGGGACGAACTGTTCAAACACACGAGTCTATAAGAAATATTTTACATCCAGGCTCCCGTAGAGCCACCCTGGAGAGCAGGCCAATAAACAGCCTTGATCTCTACATGTCTGAGGAGGAGCCAGAGACTTAGCCATCCCAGAGACTCGGGAATCTAAGATCTTGGCAGCCTCAGGTTGGCCACAAGGAAGACCATCTTTTAAGTAACTAAGGCTAGCTGCCAGCCAAGGCAAGCCACCTGTCCCCCAGTGCAAGGATCACTGTAACAGCATCGTTTGTAGGTGTGTGACATAATCCAGTATCTGTGAGAGATTACTTCCAGGATTTCCTAAAAACACCCAGGTCTGTAGATGCTCAAATCCTTCTTTTTAAACCGTAATGTTTGCATAGAACCTATGCACATCTCCCTGTAAAATGTTCCACCTCTAAGTGACCTACACTGCCTGGCACGATGTAAGTGCTCTGTGAATAGTTGTGTTGTTTATGGTGTATCGTCACAGTTGCAGTTTTTCCTAATATTTGGGGGTCACCGTTGGTTGATTCCATCGACACAAAATTCGTGGGTCAAAATGATCCCCCAGCAGTTTATTTCCACGGGGAAGACGGAGCAGAGAAACCACACGAGGGCATGAACCTGGCTCAGCAGACCCAAATACAGATTCTTGCAGGTGGCCTAGACAAGGTGTTTAACCTCCATCCCCTCAGGCCCCATGATGATGACGTAGGGATAATGTCACTCTGCCTCTCATGTAACCATTGTATGGGTCAAATGAAACAAGGCATGTCGAGTGTTTCAGCAAAGGGCCAGGGCATCCCTCTGGCTACAGTCACAGGCAATTAGGCCTAGGCTGGTGAGACGGCTTAGCTGGTGAGGTGTTTGCTGTGCCAGCAGACTGAGTTAGGTCCCCAGGAAAACGTTAGGCAAAAACATTAGGTGTGGTGGCATGTACTTGTAAGCCCAGCACTGGGGAGATGGAAAATGCCCCGGTCCAGCTGGCCAGCCATTAAGCCTACTAAGGGAGATCCAGGCCAGTGAGAGGCTCAGTCTCAAAAAGCAAGGTGAAGGCACCCAAGGAATGATACCTAACATCATCCTCTGGCTTCCACGGGCATGCATACACACGTACACACACTTCCGAACACACCTGCACCTCTATGCACACAGCAACGGGGCCCTCTGGAGGTCCCGGGAAGCAGTGTCACATTTAAAAAAATCATCCCTACCAAGAGAAGCAGAAGGAAAACAGCTCTTCAAACCACAACATCCTGACCTTCAATTTGAGTTTTGCCAGCTTTCCTTCACTTGCTAGATTGTTCTTTCACTTCTTGCCGAAAAGAGAAAAAAAGTGCTATACGCTGCCTCAAAAGAGTCGGGGGCGGGGAGAAACGATGCTCGGAGAAAGGAACAGGGCAACCATTTCTGTGAAGCCCTTACCTCAAATGCAGCACAGGATTTGATGGGGTAGAGGTAAATGTTGGTGACCACGTGGGGCCCAAGGTCCCCATTCAGGATACCTGCCGCTTTCTCTGGAAGGGCCTGCCGGCTGCTGCTGGCTTCGCTCAGAGACAGGCACAAGTCCATGGTATTTGCATCAGGACAGGCGTCACTGCAAACTGCAGGGTCTGTGCAGGCACCGTCCTGAGGTGGGTGGCAGTCACTCTCTGAGGATAAGGCTCCAGCATCACAGGTGCCGGCTGGAAGAACACCCTGTTCACCGGGTGAGCGAAGGCGGATAGCGCTGATGAACCTGAGAAAGGCCTGGGCATCTTCTAGCGTGGACATGTATCCAAAGGAAACCCTCACAGAGCCCGTGGGCCGTCCGTCTATGATGTCGACATCATCTCCACAGACATGACCAGCCTAGAATCAGCCAGATAAGTCAGCCAGGGAAACTTGTGCTTTGTGGATAAATTGGAAAAAATATTATAAAAATTAATTTTACTTGTTTTAAAATAAACTCAGGAAGGCAGAATTGCTAGGCGCCTGAGAAACCATTCCTTTGCTGCAGACGCGGGGACACACTGCCTGGGTCTCACCTTAACCAGCTGTGAAGTGGAGCTGATGCCAACGTGAGGGACTTTAAAGAGATTGGCAGCAGTGCTTCCTGAAGATCATTTTCCCAGAGGACTCAACAGACAGGCTAAAGTCTCAGAAGCACCAAGAGCTGTACTTTACAGTCTTCCCAGGCTGAGCAGAACACCCACGGGCCACTCCCAGACCGCCTCCCTGAGTATCAAAGGGAGGCTGGCATCCTGACAGCGGCCCTTGGAGAGGAGAAAGGCCGCAGTACCAACCCTTGGCCCCTTGAAGGCCCAGGTCAGCTCAACTGCCCCTGCCACAAGGGGGAAGGTGGAGGTACTCCATCCCCAAATCTAGCTGCCTGGTGTTACAGGTCACGGGAAGTATGTACATTAGATGCTCGGGACACCTCCCTAGTCTAGGCCAGTCACCCTCAGAGATGTGACACAGCCTTCCGTCACCATCCAGAGCCACAGCCAGAGCTGCAAGCAGTTGAGTTCTGGCCATCTCTCTCTGCCTTCTCTCTTTCTCTCCTTTTCTCGACCTCCCCTTCCTCCCTTTCTCTCTCCCTCTCCCTCTCCCCTGCCCTCTCCTTCACCCTCTACCTTTCTCTCTCAGATGGAGATCAATTTTTTTCTCATTTTGATTAGTTCTTTGAAAATTTCATGCAGTATATGTTGACCATAATCATACCCCTCCCCCAATGCCTCTCAGATCCACCCCCCTTCCCTACCCAACTAAGTTTGTGTCCCCTTTTTTTCAACCCTTAACAAGTACAGTCTGTGCTGCCCATATACTCTTAGATATACGACTTTCCATTGGAGCATGTTCAACCTACCGAGGGTCACATCCCCTGGTAGGCCCCTTGTCTTTTTTAAAATAAAATCTAGTTCAGAGGCCGGAGAGATGGTTTCGTTGATTAAGGAGGCTTGCTGCCCAGTCCTGGTGACCTGAGTTTGAACCCTGGAATCTACGCGAAGACGGAAGGAAAGAACTAGCTGTACAATGTTGTTCTCCGACCTCCACATGTGCGACGTGCCATGAGTGTCCACACATATATCATGCATAAATAATAATAATAGTTAACTGGGATTTTAGCACGTGCACATTCAGTGGCAAGAAAAAAGAAACTCAAACTAGCAACTGCTGCAAAATGCACAGGACTCTTTGCCCCTGGCTATGGTTTGAAACTGGAAAGCCCCCCATAAGGTTCGACACTCGGTCCCCAGCTGGTGGCACTGTTTTGGGAGGTTGTGGAAATACTAAGAGGGGGTCCCACCCGGAGGAAGCAGGTCACCGAAGCAGGAGCTTTGAGCCCTTTCGTTTTACGCGTTTCCTACCGCCCAGTCAGTTACCAAGTGAGCTCCTCTCCTCTGCCATACCCCCACTGCCAGAATGCTCTGCCCAAGCACCGGGGCCACGTGACTATCCACTGAACCCCTGAGATCATGAGCAAAGCAAGCAGCTCCTCCCAAGTGAGTCATTTCCATTGGATCTTTTATCACAGTGAGAAACTATTCTTGCAAAATAATTCAAAATAGGCCCTATGTACCCAGAGTGAAAAAACCTCCACCCCAGGACAAACAGGGAGGGTGAGGATTCTGGGAGACAGGACCCCTGGATCCATGGATGAGTTCCACCCACTCCCAGCCAGGAGGGAGGCTAACCTCAGTTCGGAAGCTGTACCCGAGGAGGAGTGAATTGGGCAGGGTGAATTGGCCAAACGTCCCCCGCTAACAGCCCTCTTCGGTTACATTTTTAACCTCCAGCCAGTGAGACGATTCACTGGGTAAAGACACTTGGCACCAAGCCTGCAAACCTAGATTTGATCTCCAGGATGGTAGAAGGAGATAACCAACTTCAACAAGCTGCCTTCTGACCTCACACTCACACACACACACACACACACACACACACACACACACACACACACACACACACACACAAATAGAGTAATTAAAAAATTACTCTCAGAGTGAAATATGAATCATAAAATATTGCCACAGAGCTAAAAACTTCAAGCACTTTGCATTTTATCAACTCCTTTTCTTTTTGGTCCATCCACGGAATGGTCCTGGCAAGATGAGCCTGAACAAGCAGCCTCCACCAGCCTCAATGACCAGCCACCTCACGGTCTTGCTGACTGCAGTCTGCGTGGGCTACAGGGGCTTGTACTGACCTGAAAATGTTTCTTAACCATCTCGTCACTTAGCCCCAGGTGCCGCTGGCAGGCCCCCAAGTTACAGAAGCAGCCAGTCCTCAGGTAGATTTTGTACAGGCTGGCCATTTTGTCTACCTGAAGATAAAGGTGACATGGAATCAGTGTCAGAAATGTCTAGTTTCACTATGATTGCCTGGAACAGAATTCTGGAACAGCATTGATCCTCTTTCTTAACAAAAAGATGGTAGGTGACCTAAGTCTGGACCTTGCTCTAAAATTCATAGCTGTTATGTCACAGACGTAAAAAATACCCCCCAGGGGCTCACATGCTGAACACTCATTCCCCAGCTGTTGGTGATGTTCTGGGAAGTTGTGGGACATTGGTAGGTGGGGCCTCCCTGGAGGAAGTAAGCCACTAATTTGTGGGCCTTGGAAGTTAAAATTTAGCCCCTCCTCCCTCTGCTGAACAGTGAGGAGGTGAGGCACCCACCCCTGCCACCGTGGGGCTGTCAGCCACCATTTCCTTGTCTGAGTGTTGGACCATATCACTTAATCTGTGAGTGAGAATCACCCCCCTCCCTGAAACGGCTCTAGCCAGGTATTTTATCACCAAGACAAGAAAAGTAACTGATGTAAGGATCTACTGGTTTTTTTATTCAGCATTTTATAAAGTGTCCTAGAAATCAGAGTATATCGAATTACAGAAGTGTGCTTGAGAAAAAATCAAATCCAGACCAAAGTCTAAGTTAAGAGCCTCAGAAGAGCAACAGTGAGTGGAGCTGGGGCCATTGTCAGCTCCTTCACACTGGTCACCACGGAGTCTGACCACAGAGCAGGACCCAGTGAGGTGCTGTTCTGGGCAGCACCAGCTTGGCTCACAGCCTGTATCATGAGCATCACGTGGATGTCATATGTCATCTATGTCCATTTTCTAATTTCTCCAACTTCAGGTTCAGTCAGGATTGCTGTTCAGTCTGGGTGTTATGACTCTGCTGCCCCCTGGAGGCTATGGGGTATGCACTGACTGGTCCTAAATTCTGGGCTCCAAGAATTCTCAAGCCTCAGCCTCCAGTGTATAGCAAGGAAACAGATTTGGTTTGTAGTGTAATCAAGATGCACGTGTTCTATGATGTTCAGGGAAAATGAGCAGCATCTTCTAACTTTAACTGATAACTGAGTCTGTTCCAAATGTAGCCCTTCCCTACATGCAAATCAGTTTCCCTCTTTCCCCATTGGAAAAAAGTCCATGCAGAGGGTGCATCACAGAAACTGCTTTAACCAGCCCACAAATCCTTTGAAGTCATCGCATGTATAGACTAAGGCAGAAATACGGGATTCTTTGAAGCTGGGTGAATTACTGGTGATACTTCTTTTTTTAATAAATAGATAAGGAGGAGGCGGTCCCCGACTTTACCTCATGGCAATATATGATGTGATGTGGTCTGATGTATTGCTGGGCTACATGAAGTGACCTCAGCTGTGGCCTAGTGCCCACACTGCTTTTCTATCTGTTTTAGGTGCCTTCCCATTCAGGCAAGTTGTCATCTGCTCTCTGATCCTCTCTCTCTACCTAAGTAAAGGAGGCTAAGGACATACACAGCCAAGCTTGAACAGAATTGCATATCGATGAGAGCTGTAAAGCCTCTGAGCTGAGTATGGTTGGGTGTGTAAAATGTCTACACACAGGACATGGAGGCAGAAATATCAAGAGTTCAAGGTCACTCATGGCTATATAGTGAGTTCCACACCAACCTTGGCTACAGGAGGCTATGTGTATAAATAAACAAACAAATGCCTTTGAGTGAGGCTCACCCACAGAGCCTGGGCTTTCTCATAGCTCCTTCTAGGGGATTTTTAAGGAAATGTCAAGAGTCAAAAAGACTTCCAAGTTTAGACAAGAACATTTCTAGTATAAAAGGGCAAGTAGGATGAACATAGGGAGAGCTGGACTTCCTGACTTGAGCCAAGTGTAGTGGCTAACACCTACAATTCCGGCACTAGGGAGGTAGACACAGGAGGGTTGCTGTGAGTGCAAGGTCAGCCTGGGCTAGAGTGAAAGCCTCCCTTTCTCTCAAAAAAAAAAAAAAAAGATGAATCAAAATCCCACCTGGGAGTAGCCAATGATGTTCCCACCATCATCCAGCACATTAAAATTGATGATTGGACCCTGGACATCAGGGCTGCTGAACTCAGAATCACTGTAAATCCGTACCACAGGGGCTCCGTTGGGGTAGCAGAGGGAAGACAGGACAGAGTGGGTGTACTGTGCCAGAGCAAAGGTGTGCCGTTGTATGTTCTCCATGCCACCTAGAGACAAAAGCACACAGAGACATGGACTTCACACATAAGTCACTCCCTCCTGTCTAAGACATGCTTTTTACAATTGGTCAACCCAGACCACCAATTGACGACTTTAACTATAGCTGTCCTTATGACGAAGTTGATGTATTTTTAATAATTTTATTTTATGTTTTGTCTGTGTACCATGTGTATAGAAAAAAATTTCCCAAGAGCACAGCACACCAGGTGATGCCTGGCTCATCAGACATAATCTACTCCAGTCATATGCTTTCATGCCCATCCCCATAGAAAGAGGAATGGCATCTGCCTGTGTCTCGGCCCCTGGGAGCTCTTGTCAGGAAAGAGCATGGTGGTGCTCTTTCAGACAAAAGCTGGTGGAAGAAAGGGTGGCCAGGAGCTTGAGGTCAGGCGTGAATAAGACCTGCATTTAATCTAGTCCTCTCAGCTTGCCGACTGGGAAGGCATTCAGTATTTCTGTGACAGCTCATCTTGGTTGTCAACTTGACTATATCTGGCATTGCCTAAAATTAAAAAAGGAGGGTATGCCATTGAGGGATTTTTGCTTAATTTGAAGTAGAAAGATCCACTTCTAATCCAGATCTTGAGGTGGATTAATCTGGGCCACGCCTTCTGCTGGAAGCCTATATAAGGACACGGAAGAAGGACGCTTTTGCTCTTTGCCTGTTTGCCCTCCCCTTGCTAGCAAGTCCATTCCTTCACTAACATTACAGCCGACTTCTTCAGAATTCCCGCATATACCGAAGATCAACTGAGACATCCAGCCTCGTGGACTGAGCAACTACTGGATTCTTAGACCTTCCTTTCACAGCCAGCCATTGCTGGATTAGCTGGACTGCAGCCTGTAAGTCATTCTAATAAATCCCCTTTTTCATACAGAGAGAGAGATTCATCCTGTAAGTTCTGTTTTTCTAGAGAACTCTGACGAATACACTTTCTGAGCATCTGCTCCATTGTTGGGCAATATGGGTTTGTCAGCAGCTCCTCTGTGGGGCTGTAGAGAGAATCCAGGCAGGCAAGAGCTGATAAGACCTCACCTAGCCCAGGGACCCAGGGCCATGCCTCCACCACACACAGCCATTAATCTTTGGCTCTGGGATGATCTCTGTTAAAATGGGGTTGTCCAAGCCTGGAAAAGCAAAAACCAACCACCCCAAGCCCTCCTGAGTGCTCTGAAGACATTTAGAATCTGACTTCACTGCACAGAGATTCTAGCTACTTGGTACATGCTGCTCCCTTCCATAGATCTTGTCTCCTTCACCAGCACCATACCTATACCTGGGATCCCTCAAGGACACAGGCAACAAAAGCCAAGTCCACTCAGGTAAATATGTCCACTGACCTGTGAGGTGCTCCAGAGCATCAAATCCATGTTTCAACGCTATTACATCAAGGAATGAAATGGTGCCATCTTCAAACCTGTAGGGAACAAGCTGTCAAGCCTTGGCCAACACAATCCACATGCATTCTGTGCTAGGTGAGGGCAGCCAGGCATAGGCTGAGTGATGGTTTGTTAATAGCTCCCTTCTGTAGCCTTATAAAACTGGCTTTCCCCACCATGTCAAGACCCACCTGGCTGCCTCTGGCCCTAACCAGCTCTGCAGTCTTTCAAACTTGGTGTCCATGTTGGCTTCTCACACATGCAACATTCTGGGTCCCACCTTCCCCCCTCAGGAAGGTACTCAGCAAGAGCCACACAGCCTGCCCTACAGCCTGGGGGAAAGGCCTCAGACCTGGAAGGCAAGTGGCAGCCTGCCCTCGGTGTTTTTGGTAACCTCTCAGCCTGACTGGCAGAGGTTGCCACTAACATTGCTCCCCAGGTTTGGGCTTTGGGTTCAGCTAATTCCTGCTGAGGAGCGGAGCAGGGTTCACTCTAGCTGCTGGGAAAGTGAGTGTGCTGTGAACTGCTGGCACGTGTTTCAGACCAGCGTCTTTTAAGATCACTGTTTCTCGCTGTTGTTTCTCCCCAGTGCTCTGAGGCCAGAGCCTCCCGTCCCCTGTTCTTACTTCCCTGCAGGCTTTTCTCTCCTTCCTCTGAAGCTGTTATCTGCAGATCCCCTCCTCCACCCAGGTGAAGAAGCTACAGGACAGAGTTCAGAGTCACCCCTAACACACTCCAGCTGATCTCCGCCTCCCAGATCTGAGCCCCGCCCTGACTGTCCTGCCTGTGACATCAAACTCCCTGGACCTGGGTTCCGCTTGCACAGTCTTATAGGTCATGCTTGCCAGCCTGCCTAAGTGAAGGACACAGGATGTGCCACAGGCAAGGTTACCTTTCTGCCACCGACGGCCTCGGGACGTAAAAGTCCTCTCCTGCAAGGTAGGCAGCTGCAGTTCCTCCTCCGAAGTAGCTTTTCCTCAGCAGAGGAGCCACATGCTTACTGACCAGCAGGGCACCCAGGCCTGTGGGGAGCCCGAAGATCTTATAGAAGGAGATGGGGACAAAGTCAGGCTGGTGAGTGGACAGGTCCAAGGGGGAGGTGCTGACGTAGGAGGCTGCATCCAGCAGGACGAACCACCTCCCGGGCACATTCACAGGGCTCCTCCGCCCAGACTTGACCTCTTCTATCCACGACAGTGGGTATCTGGTGCCTGAAAAGTTACTCTGAGCTGGGTAACAGAAGAGGTGTGGAAGCTGACAGTCAGGGTCACAGGCTCCAGCACCCCTGTCCTCTGCTGACCACATGTCCTCTGGCTTGATTGGGATGGATGTGACATTCATGGCTGCAGCCACCTTCCTCATTCCCACCACAGAGGTGTGGTTGTCAGTGAGGTAACAGAAGTGACTCCCACCATTCTCCAGGGCCCGGGATACCCACGGAAACGCCTCTGCCACTAGTCTGAGAGCAGCTGTGCTCCCAGATGTGAAGATCACGATGTAGTCCTCTGGCGTGGTGTGAAAGTGAGTCAGGATCCTGGAAAGAAGCACAGTGTCACAGCTGGGTCTCTGCTCCACCCAGAATATTTCCAAGTTACCTTAGGTCTACTCAATAGGGCATCTCTACCTTCCAGGGACTCTTAGCCACAGCTGTGTAGTTAAAGCAGGGCAGAGAGAGTCAGACGTTATAGGCTGGCCTTGAACTTTCTATTTTGCAAAGGATAACCTTGAATTCTTGCAAAGATCACATTTAAACTTCTTGCCTCTGGGGTCCCATCTCTGAATGGTCACAGCAGAAACCTACAACATAGGGCTGAGGCTGAAGTGTGCCTAAAACTCAAGCAGCTTGTGTTCAGTCCCAAGTATTTCTTAAACCCAAGTACTGTCTCCTGCAATCCCAGAATGCAGGAGATGGAGGCAGGAAGATGTTAAGTTCAAGGACAGCCTCAGCAATCTAGTGAGTTCAGAGCCAATCCAAGACACACGAGACCCTGTCTCAAAAAAAAAAAAAAAAAAAAAAGGAAAACAATCTCCAGCAAACATAGTAAGCTCTAGAGCAGCCTCAGGACTAGACCTTCTTAATAAATAAATTACATTTCTTTAAATCTATACAGGAACTGGAAAGATGACTCAGCATGTTTAAACATTTCTTGCTTCTACAGAAGACCCAGGTTCGATTCCTAGCACCCCCCCACCCCCCGGCCCGGTAGCTCACAACCATCTGTAACTCTAGTTCCAAGGATCCTAACACTCTCTTCTGACCTCTGTGTGCATAAGGCATGAACATAATGCACATATATACATGTGAGTAAAACACTTACACACATCACATAAATAAATTTAAAAAAATATTTTAAATCTAAAACAACCTGAAAATTAATTGAAAACACCTTCATCTTTGTATTCCCCCTACTCTATTACAAAGCATTTTAAAAATATATTTATTTATTTATTTATTTATTTATTTATTTATTTATTTATTTATTTTTCTTATTGTGTGCCTGAGTATATGTATGTGCACCATGTGTGTTCAGGTGCCCATGAAAGACAGAAGGCATCAGATCCCCAAGAATTCATTATATACAGTTATGAGCCACGTTGTGGGTGCTGGGAAACTGGGTCCTCTGCAAGAGTAGTAAGCACTCTTAACCACTGAGCCATATCTCCACCCCCATCACAATGAATTTTAAGTCAGCAGCCTGTCTTACATTGCTTTTACTACTGGCAAGCTGATCCAAAACTGATATCACTTTCAAATTTGAAATAATTTAAATTTTACTGATTTAAGTAACCTATACCATGAGGAGATTATGTACCAGAAACTAGTTATTATGCATGGAGAACAATTAAAGAATACTCTAACATGCAAAAACTAGTGAAAATAATGTGGTAGTTGGGTATGGTGGTGCACACCTGCAATTCCAGCACTTGTAAAGTGCAGGCAGGAGGATTAGGAGTTCATGGCCAGCACTGTTACACAAGAGAGCTAGAGGTGAGCTACTGGACTCCCTGTCTCAAAGTGATAATGGTTCTATGAATAAATAAAAATGCCTAATAAAACAATCTACGAAAAGGAAGGCCAGAAAATGGTGCTTCTTTCTGAAGACATGACTGAGAACCTGGACTGCGCCTTTCACTCCAGCTCCCACTCAGAGACGCCATCTTGTATTTCTCAAACCATACTGTGCTTACTCTCACCCTCCGTCTTCTGACCTCCTGGTTATTGTCATTCATGCGTTGCAGTTTAGCTGAATTCTTTCTGAAACCCCCTCAGAAGTTCTGTGGGACACAGGCCTCTACTAGGAAGTCCGTCCACCCAGGTAGCCATCTCAGGTGGGCATCCCTCGGGCTCACCTGTAGCGGACCTGCTCCACAGTGTCATGGGTGAGCTTGCTGGTGATGTTCTGGCTGTGAGGATTACCTAGCAGGTCACAGAGACAAAGCTTTAAGAGTCATAATGTGCTCTCTCCCTGGGTTCCTTTCAAAGCTCTCTCCCTCCGTTTTTCAAGAACTTAAAAACATAAAAATCCTATATGGTCCAGCAATTCCACTTTTGGTACCTACTCAAAAGGAATAAATGCTTGTATCCATACAGACTGCACAAATGTTCATACCAGCTCTATTCATAAAGCCGAACTCTGGAAGGAACAGAAATGGCCAGTGACTGTGAACAGACAGACAAAATACAGCAATCCCTATATAGTAGGCAACTATTTGGCAATAAAAAAGAAAAAAAAACTACTGGCTATGACAGGAATGAACATCAAAAACATGCTAAGCTTTTTATAGCATAGAAAGAAGGTACTGTGCAGGCTGCTGGGAGAGAAATTATGCCCACCACGGCAATAGTGGCTTAACTACTTTGAAGGCAACCAACTGCCTTCTGATTGAGGCCATGTCAGGGAGTTCACATCTGGAACTGTAAACCTGATCAAAAGCCTGTGGCTAGGGATGTCATAGGCCCTAGAAGGGAACCTGCTGTTGTTATTCTGATAAACAGACACAATGTGTCTGTTAAGCTGCCTTCTAAATATTAATATTTATTCCCCTAGATTAGTGATACTCTTAGTTTTGGTCAGAAAAGCTTTTTCCCCCAGTGGGTAGCAATTACTGCAGAGAATAACTTGTCAAAGTGCTGAGAATAAGTGACTGCTGAGTGCTCAGTCACAAATGGGACAGCTACATCACCCTTCCCAGGCTCAGGAAACATCATGGAAATGGGAACAGAAGGAAGGTACGAGCCAGAGGAAGAGTGTTCTAGGATGCTGTCTTCTAGGCAAGACATTGCTCCCTTGAACTCATAGCATCTGTGATTACCAGCAAAAGAGCTGCACATGATTGGGTCTATCAACATTCCATCATGGAGCAGGATAGGGGCTCATAAGGACCTAGCCATTCCCAATACCTATATACAGTTGATGGTCAATGGGGGAAGGAGAGACATTTTCTTCAATGAAATAGTCATTGGTAAGTTGCCCATGGTCCCATAAATAATCTCTCAACCATTCTCCTATAAGCAACCCTAATTAAACTCATTGGCTCACACCCCACCTCCAAAAGACATGAAAGTTGAAAGGGACTAGTTGAGGAGAAGAAGGAGGGAGTCTGCAAATGTGGGAAGTAAACAGGAGAAGGTCATAGGGGTGGTTATGATCAGAACACATTATGTATACATAGATGAAAATGCCATACTGAAACCCATTATTATGTACAATTAATATATTCTAATAAAATATTTTTAAGTGCAGTAAGCAAATGACTCTAGTCATAAGAAGCTGCATACTATATCATTTCATTTATATGAAATGTCCATTGAGGCCAGTAGAGAGAAAGTGAAAGTGATGAGTTAGTGGGCTTAACTATGAATAGTTGGGGAATCCCATGGAGAAATAAGAACATCTAACAGACTTATAGGGATGGTTGAATCACTCACTGGGAACACTTAAAAATTACTGAAGGGTCTAGAGATTTAGCTTAGTGCTTGAGAGCACTTCTAAAGCCGGGCGGTGGTGGCGCACGCCTTTAATCCCAGCACTCGGGAGGCAGAGCCAGGCGGATCTCTCTGAGTTCGAGGCCAGCCTGGGCTACCAAGTGAGTTCCAGGAAAAGGAGCAAAGCTACACAGAGAAACCCTGTCTCGAAAAACAAAAACAAAAAAACAAAAAACAAAAAAAAAAAGAGCACTTCTAGATCTTCCAGAAGACCTAAGTTCAATTCCCAGCATCCAAATGGCAGCTCATAACCATCTGTAACTCTAGTTCTGAGGGACCTGACCCCCTCTTCTGGACTCTTCTGGACTCTGAGTGCAATGCAAAAAAGTTGTGCACAGACATACATGAAAACAATGCACCCACATTCTTAAAATAATAAAACAATTTAAATTATTTTTTGGAAAAGAAATCACCGAATTGCACAAATGAATTAGGTGGTTATAATATGTAAACTATAACTCAATAAAGCTCTTAAATAAGAAAACCACTCCGTTTATTTGTAAAACAAAATTGCACCTAGATTTGGGGACAATCAACTCAGAGACAGCCAAGTGGCCCCATGTCTTTCTCTGCAAACTCCCCTCAGGTGGCCAGGGACTGTGTCCATTAACTCTACAGAACCAAGGGTACAACCTTAGGAGGCATTCTCTCCTCCAGCCACCAGACGGAACCACACCTCCTCTGAATTAGTCATCTGTTGTGGTACTATTGTGTTCCCCAAAATATTGTGCACGCTAATAAACTTATCTGGGGTCAGAGACAGAACAGCCACAATATTAAACAAAGGTTAGGCAATGGTAGCACACGCCTTTAATCCTAGCATTCCAGAGGCAGAAATCCATGTTTCAAGGATACAGCCAAGCATGGTGACTCACGCCTTTAATCCCAGAAAGCGAGCCTTTAATCCCAGGAAGTGGTGGTAGAAAGCAGAAAGATATATAAGGCGTGGAGACCAGAAACTAGAAGCATTTGGCTGGTTAAGCATTTGACTGATTAAGCATTCAGGCTTTTGAGCAGCAATTCAGCTGAGACCCATTCTGGATGAGGACTCAGAGGCCTCCAGTCTGAGGAGACAAGACCAGCTGAGGATCTGGTGAGGTGAGGTAGCTGTGGCTTGTTCTGTCTCTCTGACCATCCAGCATTTCACCCCAATACATGCCTGGGTTTGATTTTATTAATAAGACCTTCTAAGATTCCCTCTACAATCTGTTGAATGCCCTGTCATTCCCACCACCTCTGCAGGCCCTATCTCTGCAGAAACACACCCCCTCCTCCTGCAAGTATTGAAGGGGGCCAGCATGAACAGTCCCTGCCACCTATTCTCAACACTACAAGCTCACTGAACCTCACCTTTCCTTTCATTGACCTTGAGAAAAGTTTTCCTCTTCTTTGTGTTCCCCCAGGCGTCCCCAAGTGTCACAATCTCCCTCAAGACTTATTTTAGATATGAGCCCTATGGTGACTTGAATATGAAATGTCCCTCATAGCCTCATGGTCCCTAGCTGGTAGTGCTGTTTGGGAAAGTTGCAGAATCGTTAGGAGGTAGATCCTTTCGAGAGGAAGTGAGTCAATGGGAGTGGGCCTTGAGGCTTCACAGCCCCGTCCATGTCTTTTCCCTCTGCTTCCTGACTATACCAGGGATGTGACCTGATGTCCTCCTGGCCATGATGAACTGTAACCCTTCGCCAAAAAAATAAGCTCTTCCTCTTTTGTTTTTTTTTTTTTGTCCAGTATTTGATCGAACCAATTGAAAAATAAATAAATAATTGAACACTGATTTCTGGAAAGGCCTGACCTGTTGAGCCAGGCACCCACATTCGCAGCAAAGGACAAGCCATGCACATTGATGCAGACTTGGTCTGTTTGCTTTATATTCTTCTTCCCTCACCTACATCAAAGGGTCACGCTGACTATGGCCACTGTGGCTACCACACGTTCCTTCCCTAGCAGCCTGTGGGACTTGGCACACACCCTCGTTGCCTTTTTCCCCTCAGGTCAGTTTTTAACCCTGTGTCTTTAGGACCACCTGGATCTTGAAACTGCCATCTCTCAGGCTTTCCCACGGTTATGGCTTTTGTCAAGGTTGCAGAAGGAGAATTTCAGGTCTCTTTGCAAATCATAGATGAAAATCAAGATAAAATCCCTCAGTGGCGCCTACTTTGTGGCTTTCTCAGATTTAAAGATCTCCTCACTGCCCAGAGTGAAGATTCAAACCCCTGTGCATATCTGTAGCATAACAGAACTTGTCGTGAAGAGCATCTTGGGGTGGGAAGACCTGGACTGAGGCCCTGGAGCCAAATCGCCTAGAGATATAGCTCCTGTGGCCCTGTACCTCCAGCTCCAGAACTTTCCAAATGTGTAGCATTAGATTAGTTACTTGCCCTTTCTGGGGCTCCATTTGTTCACCTGTAAATCAAGATGTTGTGAGACTATTCCTGGGGAGACATAGGAACACCAAAGGCAGCATTGAGGCCAAAGAAAAGACTCCACCCAAGACCAGCTTGGTAAGCCAGTGAGTTTCCTGAGGTTACTCACAAGAGTGTGGGTCACTCAAAGGTAGCTACATCATCCCCTGGGCAAGTTATAGGTAACTTTACCAACTGCAAAATGGTCCCAACACGGTCCATTGTTTTTCTCTTGTATAAACCTTGGGGATGATGGTGGCCTTAGGGATTTTGAGAATGCTATTGAGTCCTGTGAGCCCCTCCATCAGTCTTCCACAAGGAACCACCAATGGGCCCCATCCTGTGAGGGACTCATACAGGTGACCAAGGTGCTCTGATTCAAGATGGAGGCCATGTCCTACCTGGAGGAAACAGCTTTACTATATAAGCTTAAGAACACAATCTATGGCCCTTGGAGTGTCATACAGATGCATGGCAATAATACACGCCACACATTTAGGCCATACCTGATACATGACAGGTGCCCAGTGAATGGTGTATTGATCAACTGGTATTAGCATTATATATCTCTTCTGATTTATCTCCTGAGCACACTATGCTGTTGCTGGATGCCCTAGAAGACTATCCATCCTCCCTCGAATAAAAACCACCACTGCACCACCTACAGAGCCCTGAATGGCCCTGCCCTATCACCCTATCCATTCAGACAGCTGTCACCCTCTTCCATCTGTGGTCCTAGATCCCGGCTTTTGCTGCTACAACTGCCTCCATGGTGTCCCCTCCTGCTGTCCCAGTGAATTCTGGCTCATCATCCAGCATCTGCTCCCCTCCCGACTCCCCCAACATGCACACTGCCAACCCTATTGTCTTTCTGCAAATGCAGATGCCCACGATGGCAGCCGCCTTCGTGCACAGCCTTTTGAACAGTTGCTAAGCACATTTAGTTGGAGATCATTTGACTAAGGTCTTGTCTTCCAGGTCTAGACCACGGTCTCCTCCAAGAAAGGAGCTATGTTTTCTTCTGATGTTATAGCACAAACCACACACCACAGTGGCTCAGGGAATGTCTAGAGGGAGTGAATGAACGCTCTTCAGGCTCCCCTACCCTCTGCATGGTACAGTGTTTTACTACCACCAAACACTGCGCTTCAAACTTAAATTCTCTTCCTTACACCAACCCGTTCCAGAAGTGGCCTGTCCCTGAGCGGAGCTTTCTACCTCAGACACATGTGTATGACACACCGTGAATGACCCAGGGTGCTGCCCTGATCCTCCATCTGGCATGAGTCTGGTTTTGCTTCATGTATTCCCCATGTACTCCATGAATCCAACATGACTAAACACAAATTAATTGATTAACCAGCTGTGTGTAGGTGGCTAAAAATCTGTGTGTGTGATGTTCCTTACCGTAGACATTTTCCATGAGATCCTTAGTGAAGCTTGTGAGCTGGCGCTGGGGAAACAAGGTGGCTCCTGCATGGTCAAGGTAGACAGTTCCTAGGGAAAAAAAAAAAATCACAAATAAAGCTGAGGTTGTTTCTATTTGTTTGTTTTTGAGGCAGGACTTCACATACCCCATGCTTGGCCTCAAATCCTCTATGTAGTCAACGGATAGCCTTTGAATTCTTGATCCTCCTGCCTGGATCCCGCAGAGCTGGGATTTCAGGTGTGCAGCACCACACCCACCAGTTGCAACATCTTTCAGCACAGCAGATATCCCTGAATTTCTTGATGTGTGTTTCTTAATATAAGCACAGGGCCCTTCGGAGCCTACCTGATAAGCAGCCCTCTTACCAGCCAGGCAGTACGCAGCAGACCTTTGTGACCAACCATGACACAGCAGTTTCTCACTCATTCACACCGTGTTCTGGAAGCTGAGTGTTTCCAGGAAAGGTGAGCTCTTACCTTTCTTTCCCACAGTGCTCCACTGCCCTCAGCCTAGACTCATTAGTAGAGCTTCAGAGAAGATAGAGGATAGAAGCCACCCTTGCAGCCCTGCCCTCCTGAAGACCAAAGATAAATTCAGACAAGCTGGAGATACTATGATTTGCTGATCAGATTGGCAGAGGTCAAAAGGTTATCACCCCACTGTGGGGTAAGGGTGTGGGCAGCAAGCCAATGGCACACGGCTGGCAAAGGGATGCTTAGGACAACTTCATGGAATAGCACTTGGGCAACATCAATCACGAGTTAAATGCAGCCATAGTGCAACACTTCCTTCTGCAGGTGCATCTCATGAAACCTAGGATTGTGCAAAATGGTCCGTATGTGAAGACAGCCAATGCAACATAACAAAATCACAAGACTGGAGTAGGAATGGCCAATAGCAGGTATTTCAGATAAGGCTGGCCCACACCTATCTACTCCTTCAAAAGTACAGATGTGAGATGGAGAGGGACATGAGATGGGGCCAGAGCTGGTAAAGTACTTGCCATGAAAGCTTGGCAATCTGACTTTAATCTCCAGAATCCATGCTTGTGATGCCACCAGTGGGGAGGCAGAAGCAGGTGGATCCTTGGGGCACTCTGGACAGCCATCCTGTCTAACCCACAAGTGCCAGAGTGACAGGAGACCCTGTCTCAAATAAACAAAGTAAGTGGTGCCTGAAGAACCACAGGTTGACTTATGTATGCTCTTAGTAAGTGCTCATACACACTTGTGAACTGCATCAGCGCACACACAAACACAGAGAGAGAGAGAGAGAGAGAGAGAGAGAGAGAGAGAGAGAGACTCAGATGAAGCAAATTCTGGGATACCATTTCAAATTAATAAAATATGAATAAATCTGTTTATTTTTTAATTCACTGAAAAGTTTTGGGACATGCAGGGTAGATATTTGTTTATTTTACAACAATTTCATCAAGATATAACCCACATACCATAAAATCCATCCTCTGTAAGTGTATAACTTAGTGGCTGTCGTGTGCTTACATGACCTAATTCTGGAACATTTTCATTCACCTCCCCCCCAAAATAATCACCATTATTAGTGATCATATCTCCACGCCCTCAAGTAAGCAGTGTCTGAAGTGAGACATGTTGTGGTCACTGTCGTAGGAAAAGGGGCACATATATATATATATATATATATATAAACACAGACACCGGTGACAGCCACTGCTCCTGGGGTGGCAGTTTAACAGCAGGTGGAACCCAGTGGAGGCTCCTTGGCCATTCTATCTCATTTGTCATCTTTTGAATCTGATGCATTCAAATATATCACCTAATATCCCACATTGTTTTTAAACTGCCTTCTTGGACTGCCATGCTCCAGATGGCCCCACACCCACAAGTATGTGGCCAGTACAAATTGAATTTAGTGGATGATGATGATGATGATGATGATGATGATGATGATGATGATGATAGAGGACACAGAGTTTGAAGGGTGTGGGAAGATGGAGGTTGAGTCTGGGAGGAGCTGGGGGAGAAGTGGAGAATGAATATAACCAAAATACATTATATAAAATTCTCAAAGAATTAAAGACATCATCTTTTTAAAAATAATTCTTAGCCTGGCAGTGGGGGTACACAACTTTAATCCCAGTATTTGGGAGGCAGAGCGAGGTGGATCTCTGTGAGTTCGAGGCCAGCCTGGTCTACAGAGCGAGATCTAGGACAGGCACCACCAAAACTACACTGAGAAACCCTGTCTTAAAAACAACAACAAAAATAATAATAATAAAAACAATAAAAATAAAAACAATTCTTTTACTGAAGATTGTGAAATAAAAATTCACCAAACTAAAAGAAAGGCTTTGGACATCCAATAGTCAATGTACTAAGATGTTCACATATGAGTTGGGGTGATAGCTCATTGGTTAAGAGCATTGGCTCCTCTTCAATTCCCAGCACCCACATGGTGGCTCAAAACTCCAGTCCCAGAGGGTCCAATGCCCTTTTCTGGCCTCCATAAATACCAAGCATGCACGTAATACACAGATATATATGCCAGACAAAATACACATCAATATATTTTTAAATTTTAATTATAATTTTTAAAAAGATCTTCAGGTGAAGATCCAATGCATGATGAGACCCAGGCTCTGAGGAGTACTGTGCATTTTGCCCAGAATCTTCCAAGGGGCTAGGACGCCATTCAGGAAGAACCTGCTTTGTTTGGCTTTGGGTCAACAGTTACTCTTGCAAAAGGAGGTAACTGAGGTGAAGCAGAGATCTGATCTTAGGAGGCCAACAGTGCAAATCCGAGTCAAGCAGCCAAATGATCTTTGCTCACCCACCAGCCATTCTGGACCCCTGTTCTGACATCTGCAAGTGTGATGATGGTTAGTAGGGGTGTGACAGTACCCAGCTGGATGCCTGGAACACAGCACAACTGTTTTCAGAGCAAACAAAAGCACGCAACTGATCCAAAAGCCAACTAGCACTAGGTCTTGCAGAAAGAGAAGTCAAACTATTTTTATTTTATTTTCTTTGAAATACTTGGCTGTTTCATTAACTGGTTCTAAGAAATTCAGAGACAGAGAGATAGAAAAGAGGTAGAGGGGAAGGGGGAAGGAGGGAGAGAGAAGGAGGGGAGAGAGGGGGGAGAAAAGGAGAGAGAGAGAGACCCGGATTCCTCTGGGCCATGCCCCTTTAACTGTCAGTCAGCGCCTGATGCTGGAAGAACCATTTGGGTCACAGCAGGATATTCGGTACGCCCCTTCACTAAGGCCAGGAAACCCCTATCCTAATCAAGCAAAACATTTCCGCTCCTATTACAATTTACACATTTAATTGCTCAGAGCCAGCGATTAAGCAGGTACATTTTTAACTCTGTAGAAAATCTTCAGGGAGGGAAAGAAGGTGTCGGGGCTAGACCACTCTGGCTCGTCGGGTTGGCTGTTACTCCCCTGAGCTCTCTCCAGTGTGTTTCTATGGAGAAAAAAGTGAATATGCTCCAATATTTCAGAGGTAGGAAAAAGGACCTGTTCAGTCCACAGAAGTCTACTTCGGGGATGGGAAGTGGGTAGAGTGCTCACCGCCCAACCCTGAGGCCAGAGTTCCATCCCTTAATTGGGCATAAAACAGCCGGGCATGGTAGTGTGCACCTGTAATGCCACCGCTGGGAGGTGGAGACGGGGGTTCACTGGTCAGCCAGCCTAGACAGTCAGCAAACTCCACACCAATGAGAGACCCTGCCTTAAGAAATAAGGTTGAGAGTGACAGAGGAAGACACTTGTCACACCCTCTTGTCTCTATACACACACACAAAGTGTATTTCAAGCTAGGCATGGTGGTCCACACCTTTAATCCCAGCACTCAGAAGACAGAGGCAGATGATCTTTGTGAGTTCAAGGCAAGCCTGGTCAACATAGAAAGTTCCAGGCCAGCCAGGACTACACAGTGCATAGATCTCTCTCCTTTCCTTCCCACCCTCTCTCTCTGGGGGGGGGGGGGGGGGGGGTCTCCCTCAGCCACAATGCATCCAGGGAATTCTCTAAATAAATAAAGCACCCATCTGGCTTTGGTGACTCTCACCTGTAATTCTACCACCCCAGAGGTTGAGGTGGGAAGATCGTCATAAGATGGAGGCCAGCCTGGGCTACATAATGAGTTCTAGGGCTGAGTGCAGAGTGAGGCTGCTTAAAATTAATTAATTAATTAAAGAACCTACATACCATCACTGTGGGTGTTAAAAGGCTTTAAAGGTGGAGGGGGATGGGAAGTGAGGGGACTGGCTGCTACAAGATAATGTCGTTTGGGTTCTGCTTTCTGAGGGAAAGGGGTGGGACAGGAGGGACCTGAACACACCTTTATGAAGTGTTGAGGGTGTGAGAGATCAGGATTGGAGAGGATTTGAGAAGATTAGGGAGCTGTGACACTGAATTAATCATTCACTGGGCTCTGGGATTTGCTTCAGAAAGGGGGGGGCTACTTCCCTCTGCACCTGTGGGTATTCATATCGGACTATTTGGTAGGAAATTTCCCTCCTGAGGGCAGGGTAGGGAGGAAGGGGGGCAGCAAGGAAGTTAAGGGCTGTCTCCAGCCGGTGACAAAGCACGGGGAAGAGTGGGGAGAAATAAGTAGGAGTCTGTGGCTACAGAGTAGGGAGGAGAGATGCAGGGAGGGACCACAGCTCCCCACGCCCCCAAAGGATAATTAGTTACTATTCCAAACAGGAAAAGACTAAAGCGCCTCTGTTCTGCCACACACAGAGGGACAGATACCCCGAGGGATCAAACCCACCCCTGTACCCTGTCCCATGACCTTCCTGCTCCACCGTGGGTTCTGAAGTTTGACGAAGGTCCGGGTTCCCAGTCAAGTTCTCTGACTAAAGACCAGTACTCAACCTGCAACTGTGGGCTGGGCTCTGCTACACCTGCAGTTAATCTGAGCTTAATTTCCAACTCAATCAACAGGTCCGATCCAACTCACGGGCTCACAGGCTTGTCCCATTAAAGCTCAAATTGCATGCTTCTCTAATTCTTCCAGTTTCCCAGCAAGCTAGAGCTCACATAGAGCATTGTTCTGGCTACAGAAAAGAGAAAAAACGAGACTTGGTGCCAGGCGAGCTTGGGCCACGCCTTTAAGCCCAGAGCTCCAGGGACAGAGGAAAGAGGATCAAAAGTTCAAGGCAAGCCTCGACTACATAGGGAGTTCAAGGCCAACCTGGACCACATGACTACATAGAACCCTGTTTAAAATGCCAACAGTAACAGCAGTAATAATGTTTAGAAAAGAATACAGAGAGGACATCCCTATGGAGAGAGGGGCGTGGCCTCGGGAGACCTGTCAGCTGATTAATCTCGGTCTCTGAGTTCTTCGCCGCCACAGAATCGCTTTTCCAAACTTCATGCAGTGGCCTCTTGCACACCCCTGGCCCCGTGTAGGGCATCCGAGGAACACCTCTGTTCAGTTTTCTGCATTGTGTGACCTTGACTGGGATGGGGTCTTTAGAGTCCGGTATTCTCCCGGCAATAGAGGCGGGCAAAGAAAACCTATTTGAAGTGTGTGGCGAGACCTAAAGAGAGCCCAGGCTGGTCTCGCACCACAGAGCAGTCTATGCGACAATTACAGCAAGAAGTCTATGTAACGACTGTAGCAAGAAGTCTTGCTAGTGTGGAAGGGACAGCAGCGGGGAGCCGGCAGCACGGAGCAAGCGCTCACAGTCCCTCCCAGATTTTCGATTCCCGAGGAGTCCATCTCTTCTTAGCCTTTTAGCAAAGATCAAAGTGCACCCCAAATGAGACGGCACACAGGTTCCAGCCCTGCGTGTCCCTGCGTGTCACTGAGTGTCCCCGAGTGTCCCTGCGCCCGCCCCTCACCTGCTAGGCGGCCGAACTCCAGGTCCCGCAGCTCGCTCGTGTTGCGCAGCCTGTAGCCCTGGGCCAGGCGCGGTGCGCTGGCTTCTGGATGGTGCTGGAAGGCCGGGGGTTCAGGTCCCCACTCCGCCGCTCGGCAGGCCATGGCCCGCACTTGCCGTCTGAGGAGTCCAGGCCTCCCCGTCCGGGAAGTGCAAGTGCAGGAGCCCGGCGACTCAGTCCTGGCCGGGCAGTGGGTGACTCGGGTCCCCACCCAGGGGCGGCGCCTCGCGGGCCAGCCTCCTCTCAGCTCGCTGACTCACCGAGTGCTTTCACTTCAGTGCGGCCTTTGGCCACCTGGGACAGGACCCAGCCACGCACTTCGCAGTCTCCGACACAGCCCGACGCTACTCAGGTGACATCCAAGACACGTGGGCGGGAGTCCTGGGATATCTCCGTGCCACTGAGGCAGGCGGAGGGAACATCGGAGCGTGCCTTCTCTCTAGGCATATGTGACCCCGAGTTCTCCTGGCCCAGAACCGGGGATCCTCGCCCCATGAGCTCCAGCACCGCAAGGGAAGGGCACTTGAACTGCTGCGGTGGCCAGCGCTCCCCGGCGTTTCAGAGGAAAAACATTGGGCTGCTTGATAAACTCCCAGCGATTGTGCAACATCGGAGCCCGGAAGCTCTAGTGTGACCCTGTCCAGGGCTGCTCGTGGGCTGGGCTCTCCCTCCTGCACCCCGACAATGGCTCAGAGCACAGCCACTGTGTGCCAGAGAACTGCCAGGAGAGCCAGGCAAACCCACCAGCGCAGAGTCGGGGCCAAGGACTGGGAGGCAACAGGTGCAGGTGCCCTAGTGCTGCCTAGATCTGACAATGACAGGGATGAGGAGGTGGTTGGTTGTGCAGTGCCTGGTAGCATGGGAAGACACCGCAAAGAGAACCCAGGCAAGGTGCAGACGAGGAACTAAATTTGGAGGGCATCACTAGGGAACACGGTTCTCAGGAATTGTACGTACTGAGGGACTGGGAAAAGGGCTCACATCCCTGCACAATGGAGAACCCAGCCTGAGGCCCAGAAGCCGACAGCTAGGCGACCAGATGGGAATCCACCACGCCCAAGTTTGAGGCCTGGGTCAAAGCCAGCCACTCCCAACCCAACATCCTGGGCTAGGGCCAAAGATAGAGTGGGATGGGTGATGAAGGTGGAGAAGCCTAGTGGTAAGTGTGCCTTCTCGCTTGGTGCTGCTTCCAAGTTTGGGCAGGAGTGTCCTGGCCCGGAACAGTAAGGTTACGAGGTCCAGAGAGTGCAGAAGTGATGGAATTCAGGGACAAGAGGGTCCCAAAGACTGGCTCGGGGTTGGGAGGCAGGGAGCTCAGGCACAGAGAAACAATGCGGGGCTCCATTCAGGCCATTAAGTGGGGATTGCCAATCTGCACTAACAATGATAGTCTCTGAGGCTGGAGAAGCAAGACGCATGGAAGGCTTGTGGAGGCACCTCAGAAGCTCAGGAAAGAGAGCAGAGTGGTGACAGCGGCCCAGAGAAAGTTAGTATAAAGGGGAGAACTAGAGGACAGGGCCTGGTGGCCTGTGAGGGTTAGCATAACTTAGTTAACTGGTTTACTGTGACCTAGTGAGGTCAGTTCTGTAACCGAGCTGCTTTGTAAGGGCCAATTCAGACGGAGAAGCAGCTCACTCACCAGCTAGTCCCGGAAGACGTTTGCCTGTTGGTCTTGGAGGAAGTTGGAGGTCCAGGCTTATCATCATCATGAATCAAATCTCCAGACAAGTTAGCATGAGGTTTGGGTGGGTGTTTCCTCCAAGAGCAAATTTGGTTTAGATCATGCAAGCAATTCTGCATGTCCACCTCTGTAGCATGTAGCTCCCTAAAAGAGAAGCTGCACGTCTAGGTACTGGGGTGGTTAGGAAATCAGAAGAGGGCCAGTTAGTTGAGCAATGGAGCAGCTTTCTTTCCAAAGCACAGCAGTTTGCTGCAGTCGAACGAACTAGACAGCAATGGAAAGAAAAAAACAGGAAGCTCCCTCCCCAGAGGGACTGGAGAGACCTTTTCCGTGGGTAGAAGCTGGAAGGGCAGCTTGGAATCATGAAGAGATTGGGAACAAGGGTCCATTATATTTATATGCATAATGTAATGTTCAAAACAAAAGCCAAGAGTACTAGCAGAACATAGGCCGCAGGGTGAGCACACCCAGGTTGGCTCCTGGTGCTGTTTTCCTGGGAGTTGGACTTCCGTATTCATTCAGAAGCTGCCGCTCCTCTTCTTCCATGCTGGGACACCTCACCTCCCTCCTGCTCTTTGCCTCTCAACTCTATACCACCAAGAAGGGAAAAGGATATTAGTCATTCTACATGACAACTGATAGGTGACATTTGAGGATGCTTCCTGCTGGCTTATGTGGCTTAGCAAATTGATATACCTACCCCTAATTCTGTAACCGGGTGGCAATGTACCCTGCTAGGTGTTGTGGACCAAAGAAAGCCATTCTGGGGCTAGGGGTGTAGCTCCGTGGTAAAGTGTTTCCTGGCTTTGGGAAGCCCTGGATTAGAACCTCAGCACAGCAAGTGGGGAGGGGGAGGGAGGGCAACAGAGAGGAAGAAAAACTAAGATACAGTGGAAACTCTGACTCAAAAACCAAAGTGTCTGGGGGTGGGGGGATTCATTTCCCAGCTTCTCATTATACTGAATATAGCCACAATCCTAAATTCTGGCCAAGGATATTGGACAGAACTATGTGGGACTTCAAGAAACTCCCTTAGTTAGGAAAGGTCGTTCTCTTCTTTTCTAGCTGGAATGCAGAGATCATGGCAGGAGGCCAAGCAGCTGGGAGGTGGAAGACAGGGTAAATTAGAAGCCTGGGTGTCTGGTGTTGTTGAGAAATTCCCAACCCATTCTGCAATGCCTAATTTGACTCATTTTATTTGAGAAATAGTCTATCTTGTATAAAGGAGAAAGATAATTTATCATTTTCTTTCATACACAGTTAAAGTGAAAACCAAATTAATACTATAATATTCTTTCCACTCACAGAGATGGAGAGAGAGTTTGCCTACGGTGAGAGCCAGCGTGAACCCACATGCAAAACCTCATCCACTGATTCCTCAAGTGGGGGTTCTGAGCTGCACTTGGGTGGTCCACAGAACTCAGTCAAGGCTGGACAGTCAGTGGCCGCTGGCTGCAGGGAGCCCTTGAGAGAGCTGACGAGCTAACACTTAGATCCCAGGAGGATGCTTCCAACTTGTTTCCTGAACACTAGGGCCACCTGATTGTGGGGTGAAGTTCTCTAGACCTTCCAAAGCACATCCATCCATTCTTCCTCCCCCTTCCCTCCAGCCTCGTGGTCCCTGTCATCCAGGCTTCTTGCTTGTGATGTCAGGGGGCTCCAGCTGAGCCACCTACTCTTTGTTAGAAGGGGAAGGAGTAACAAAATACGCCCTTTTTGGTCGAGTGGTGGTGGTGGTGGTGGTGGCGGCGGCGGCGGCGGCGGCGGCGGCGGCGGCGGCGGCGGCGGCGGCGGCAGTAGCGGCGGCGCACTCCTTTAATCCCAGCACTCGGAGGCAGAGCCAGGCAGATCTCTGTGAGTTCGAGGCCAGCCTGGTCTACAGAGTGAGTTCCAGGAAAGGCACAAAACTACACAGAGAAACCTTGTCTCAAAACAAAAAAAAAAGTCCTTTGGTATTCCATCTATGGATTTGCCTATTCATATCTTTCTCCACTGAGAGACTATACAAGGAATTTTTCAACATAAAAAAGGTAGCATAATGACCACAAATGCCCAGAGTGAAGACATCTCTTTCTTTAGCTTAGTTTCCAAATATATTTTGGGCGGATTTTGAAGGCATACCTATTAACACCCAGGAAAAGGTTGTGTCTTTGAACATCTTTTAAAACTGTGGTTAAATATAATTTCTGCCATTGTAAGCACCAGCTGTATACTATAGCATGAATCTTAAAAGGTCTTATTAATAAAAACAAACCCAGGGCCAGGTATTGGGGTGAATGCTGGAAGATCGGAGAAGGAGAACAAGCCACAGCCACATCATCTTGCCAATTCCTCAGCTGATCCTGTGTCCTCAGACTGGAAGCTTCTGAGTTCTCATCCAAATGGATCTCAGCTGAACTGCTGCTCTAAAGCCTAAAAGCTTAACCAGCCTAGTTCCTGGTTTTCACACCTTATATACCTTTCTGCTTTCTGCCATCACTTCCTGGGATTAAAGGCGTGAGTCACCATGCCTGGCTGTTTCCAATGTGACTTTGAACTCACAGAGATCTGGATGGATCTCTGCCTCCCAAGTGATAGGATTAAAGGCATGTGTGCCACCATTTTCTGGCCTCTGTATCTATCTAGTGGCTGTTCTGTCCTCTGACGCCAGATAGGTTTATTAGGGTGCACAGTATATTGGGGGACACAATATATCCCCACAGTATACTTCTGTGTGCTCCCTGTACAATCTCCAGAGCGTTTCACTCTTGTTAGAGTGCCCATCACACAAATCTCCATTTCCTCCTCCCTCAGGCTCTGGTCAGCATCACTCTACTGTCCTTATGCATGCTTTCTCTGGAGAGCTAGGATAAGCAAGTCACACAGTGTCTGCCTTTGTAGCTGGTCTATTTCACGTATCATGAATCCTCAGGTGTTAATCATTGTCTTAGGTAGGGTTTCTATTGCTGTGAAGAGACACCATGACCACAGCAATTTTTTTCTTCTTTTTCTTTAACTTACTTTTTATTTATTCTTTGTGTCTTTTACATCATATATCTTGATCCCATTCATTTTCAGTCCCCTGAGTATCTGCCCTCTGCCTTTGCAGCCCCCACCCCAGATAAAATTTAAGGGAAAAAGAAAAGGGGGAAAAAATCTCGTCGTGGAAGCTGTAATGTGACACATTACAGTCACGCAATAAACTCTTTTGTCCTTATATCTTTCTTACAAGTGTTCATTGCAAAGAGTCACTGGTCTGGTTCAAGGCCCCTGGTTTCTGCTACACTATTGATACTGGGCCCTTACTGGGACTCATCTTGGTTATCCTGCTGTTGCCCTGTGTTGTGGAAATCCTGCAGCTTTGGGTCTGCAGGACCGGTTCCTTCACCTGCTCCAGCAAATCACAGATGGGGTGGATATTGGGGTGGACTGACCCATAACCCTGGCTCTGGGCCTGGGTAGTTGCAGGGTTGGCCAGCCCACCAGCTCTCCCTTGTCCTTACCACCAGGGTAAGCTTCCCTGCATTGCCTTGGTGAGTTCCCCTTTGCATCAATTACCAAGGGGTGTGTCCAGTTCTCCCACTTTTATGTCCTTAGGGTCAGATCTCCCACATCTACACCTTCAGGACCAGCTTCACTGTGTTGCCCAGGCAGGGCTTAGGGGCCATTCTCCTGAGTGCTGCAGCAGATGAGGGACAGGGACAGCTCTCCTGCTCTTATGACCTTAAGGCTAGCTCTCCCACCTGCCTCAGGCATTGATGGGTGGGGGAGGGGAGGAAGGAGGACACAACATCTCTTTTTTGCCCATGCTACCACATGACAGTTAATGAGGACAGCTCTTCCATGCTCACAATATCAGGGCTGGCTTACCCACACCTCTGTCATTGGAGTTGGCTTTATTGTGCTGCCCATGGGAGGTGCAGGGCCTGCTCTCCTGAGTGTTGCAGCTGGTGGCAGGCAGGAGCAGCTCTCCTGCCCTTCAAACCTGAGGGCCAACTCTCCCACCTGCTTCAGGCATTGATGGGTGGGCAGAAGGGCATCTCTTCTGTGGAGGCCCACAAAGGTTTCCTAGTGAGATCTGAACTTGCTTTACCCAACAGAGCTGCATTAGAGGATTGTTTGACCATGTTCATGGTTACCAGATGTTTGGAAGGGACTGTAATTGGCTATGCTAGGGGGAGGTCTCTTGCCCCATCCCTTGGCATTCCTTTAAAAAGCCCTTTAGAAGAGACAGAAAAGGCTGGTGAATCAGGATCCAGGCCCTCCAGAGGCTATCCTGTGTTTTTATCTGTCTCTCCCCCTCTACCCTTCTATCTAAATATTTCTCACTTCTCTCTCCTCAAGAGTACCCTAGGATAAAAGTGGGAGTGGGCCTCCCACACTCTCCCCCACTCATGCCACCGCATGGCAGATGCCACCGCATGGCAGATGAGTAATGGGAATAGCTCTCCTGTGCTAACCACTTTGGAGCTGGCTCACCCACACCTCTACCAACAGGACTGGCTCTATTGTACTGCCCAGGCAAGGTGCAGGGCCTGCTCTCCCAAGTGTTGCAGGACCACAGCAACTTTTAGAGAGAAGAACATTTCACTGGGGCTGGCTTACAGTTCAGAGGTTTAATCCATTATCATCATGGCAGGAAACATGGCAGCATGCTGGCAGATACGATGCTAGAGGAGCTGAGAGTTCTACATCTTGACCCACAGGTAGCAGAAGCAACTGTGACACTAAGCGTGGCTTGCAAATATGGAAGACTTCACTCAAGCCCGCCCCCACAGGGACACATGCCCTCCAACCAGGTCACACCTTCTCCAACAAGGCCACACCCACTCCAACAAGGCCGCACCTCCTAATAATGCCACTCCCTATGGGCCAAGCATTCAAACACATGAGTTTATGGGGGCCACTCATATTCAAAACACCACACCCATGTTGCAGTGTTGCCCTTTAATGGCCGGATACTATTCCACTGAAAATGTAAACCTGTTCATCCACTACCAAACATAATGCTTCCTCTCCAGGCTGTGGTAAAGGATGCTGTGTAGGTGTGGTTACAAAGAGTTCCTTCAACATATTGGTAGTGTTTGCTCCATCTATTCTATCCATCCATTGTACTTTTTGTGTATTTAAAGCTAAGTTGCCTACCTCAGTAAAATTCCCCTAAATATAGGGCTAGCAAGATGGCTCCTCTGGAAAAGGCACATGACACCAGGCCTAATCACCAGAGTCTGACCCCAGGACCCATATGGTAGAGGGAGAGAGAACCGACTTCAGAAGGTTGTCCTCTGAACTCCACTCATATGCTCACACATGCACACACACACACACATGCACAAGTGTAATGAAATGTTTTAATTTCCCTAAATACTAGTCTACACATC